TCATACAATAATTTGAGTTAAATTATAATTAATATAGAGACAAGACCAAAACTGTCTGTGTATTAATGTTTCACGTAAAAAGGGTTTGGGGAATTAAGATAATATTTTAACAGGATATGTTATTAAACATAGCCTAAAGAAAGTTAAGAAAAAAACGGTCAATAATTAATTACATGAAAATTACAATACGCCAAACACAATTTTATTAATCATTCATAAATGTATCAAAAGTAGACGGCGTATTATTTGTTATAGTCATTTGATCACTATTAATAGATGACATTTTACAAATATAGTCGAGTACTCACGCAGTCACGGGCACCACTCGTCTAGGTTCAGGAATCACTCAGTTCCAAGAAAAGTTCAAGTGTTTATACATAAATTGACTTACAATATTTCATTTTCATTGTAGTATACTACAATGAAATTTGACATTTCTTTGAAGAAATTTAAATCACATAATTATAACTAATATAGGCATATTCAATATTGGTATTTTATTAAATTTACAAAGAAACTTTACTACTCAGACCAACTACGTTTTTAGAAGTTCCCTCTTTTTTTCCAACATCAGATTTCACTACTTTCCTCACTAGGAAATTAATTTAGTAAAATCATTGTCTTTCATTGTTTGTCAATAGTTATAGTTCATATAATAGGTACAATAATGATGAGAATGATAATTACGCCGTACTTACCTATTTGTTATTTATCTTTTTATGACAGGTGTTAGACAATACATAAAAGGTACTTACTTTAAAGATATAGACATAGATGATTTATTTGCGGATACTCATTTTGTTATTATAAACAATACATATACGACAAGGTACGTAGATTAGAATTTGTTCAAATATTAATACAAATGACACATTACAATGTGCAAATATCTGTTATCTGTCAAACAGTATATTGAAAACAAACAATACCAATTTGATGGAATGATTAAATATTATTAAGACTGCGTGTCCCTTAACCCTCTACATACAAAACATGTTTTTTTGTATGGATGATAATGGAATAATGCACCCGCCTGCGCTGACGGTTTACGCTGGCGGGGCACCAGTGGAGGATGATAAGAGGAACATGAGGTCAGGTTAGTTATCGTGACAAATTCACAAGGAATTTATCACTATGGTTTCCGGGGGGAACCGCGTGGAGGTCAACCTGGAATGGTACATTGCTAGCAATGGGGTCATGAGTCCACATTACTAACAATCCCCTTCCCCCCTACAAAACGTGTTACAATGAGAATTTTCTGCAATAACTAATTAGTTAATGTAGAAAATTAATTATTCTCGATTAATTTTTGTCTAACCATATAGGATAAGGTAATTATTGTTATTACACACTTGTAAAATTTTCTTTAAATAAGTTGGTGTTATAATTGCACTATTGCACTAAAAAACTCGATATTCACAAAAAGTAAGCAAGTGATTTTACAGCCTTCTCTTTCATTAATTGAGTATATTGACAGTTTATCACCTGAATGTTATAATATTTCTTTTACAGACATGTAGTTGGAAATTGTTCACATTTAGTGTTATACAAGCGTGATCTGACTACTTCGGAGATGATGCACACTTCCGCTATATTGTCTTATATAATTTAGTAGTAATTAGAAATTAATTTCACTTTTTATTATCAATCTATATCGATACAGATATTAAGTAAATACCTACTACATCACTATCCTCGAGCCAATAAGCGAATAATAATAGCTTTTGAATGATCTTCAAATTAAAAACTTGTTAAATTAACAGCTGATTACTCTTAAATGAGAAATGTGTATTTAAGTTACAGATACATATACACTTTCAAATACAAATATAATTTGTTATGATAGTAAACTCTGTTGATTGCTAGACTCTTTGAAATCTATTCTATTTTAGCAAAGACGTCGATTAACATTTTATTTCATGAAATATGTGATGACACAGGAATATTCTTAAAATATTATTCTTATAGGTTAAAAACCAGTGTCTACATGGGTACCTCCAGTTTCACCTATTTCAGACTTGTTTTTCAGATATTGATTTTTTATTTTATTTATTTCAGACTACTAGATCCACATTATACCTTATAGAATAACATACGTATGAATTAATATTATAATACTAATATATTGAAATTGGTCACGGCAATCTGCTACGGTAGCGTCTATACACCACCCCTTTCGATCAGTAGTCCTCCTTCATGAAGGTAGGCAGCATGTTGGTGGGAACCCGGGCCACAAACGCTTTTGAAACTCGCGTTGTGACTCGACTCCAGCTGCGTCAACCTCAATGTCAGGTTACTCCTGATCCGTATGTAGTCGATAATGTCCTGCTCCTGCAAGTTGTGTTTCAGCTGAGAGAAAGAGACTAAAAGTACAAGAAAGGGGAGACATTTTACTCCCCTGGAAAATAAGAGACTAAGAGAATTTGCATTTCATCCGATTGATATGAATTTACTACTAGTACATAGTCATTTAGTGACGAACGAAATCTGTTTTTCAATTTAACTATACTTAATATAACGGACGGGGAAAGAAATATACCTACTCTTAAATGCTGTGCTGTCTACCAACTATTACAAAGCAATCAAATCGTGTGTGCTAAGACGTGTGTCTCTAAATTTTTACTGATACATTATAAAGCCGTTTATTAAAGGGTAACCTGCATTTTACCATTTGTGTTACCTATTTATAACCACAATCTGTTTTCATTCTTTGAGTACAGCTCTACTTCGTTTGTGAAATTTGTGACTTGTGATCCTTTTTTATTATGTACGTATCATATATATATAAGAATTTTTGAGGTGATTTAATAGAATACTGTACAACCAAAATACCTATTAATGAAAATGGTCTGTAATATTACTATCAAAATTTAAACTGTCTGCAAAACTTAAAAAAAACAAAATATTTACCTATTTTTACTAACCTTAACCTTCCTTACCTGATGAAAAATTATGGATACAAAGTAGACAGGCATATACTAAGTCATTCCTGGAATCAAACATTGAATATAAAATCTCCCGCTCATATAAGAAACAAATTAGACTACATATTCTTTCCAAGTGACCTTGACCTAACACGATCCGCTGAAACTTACTGTAACTTACTATATACGTAGATTACTTTATTTTAATTACTGTAATGTACAGACTGGTTCAAGGTTCTCATATACAAAATGCAGAATGAGGTAATGTTTTTCTAAAAATAAAATCATTAAAAATATCCTTTATTTTAATTTATTGAAATAGCGAAAATAATTTTGGAACATTGTAAATGAAGTGGCATACATTAATTACATGTACAGCACCAACACAAGATTTTAAAAAGTACATGTATCTATTCTTTTTGCTACTTTATATTAGGTATTCACTTGGTAAATACCAACTTCAAATTATAAAATGACTAGCTAAGCTCACGATTTCATCCAATTTCACGTGGATAGCCTATGTCTTCTTCTGATCTATAAGCGATATTATTGTAAAGTTTAATTAAATTCAGTAGTTTTACATGAAAGAGTAACAAACATCCATCTATTCTCACAAACTTTCGCGTTTATAATATTAGTAAGATTATTGTGAACAATTATACAAAATCACTCATTTAAAATGGTAAAACAAGAGCATTGCTCAATATTCTGTGTTTATCATTCCTTTGTAAATTCATAATATTGAAGCACGCTACATACGCCGCATTGCAGTGGTCTAACCTCTAGGTCTGTACTGCATAGTTTGTAATATATTTTTCATCATTTCTAGCCAGTATTAGAATTCAGTGTTACGAAAAGAAAAATACATTTAGTTTATAAATGTACCTATATAATTACGTGAACAGAGACTTCTCCTGGCTGATTTTTCTACGAAGATATCCTTAGCTATATTCATAGAAATATACGGGTATAAATAACTTTTTTTATTATGTACGTAATCATTTATTTACTACTCGATTATTGATTACTCTAAATTCCCATGGTAACAGCAGATTTGTAGCGGGTAAATGCGTACTTTTATACAATTACACATGACTCCTTTAATGTGGTGGAAATTACGATGATGTGCGCTAATGAGATACCTACAAATATTATTATTGTTATAGTATTATAAATTGCTTTTTAATTTAGGTCACTAGTCTTAATGAATTTCTAATGGCATATTAATTTCATTCATAAAGAAAACATATTTCCTTCAAGTTACTTCGAAATCGATCGGACTGTATTTTTGTATGTATATCACACAGTAATTCGCTAAGTTGCACAGACTATAATATCTGTATTTGCAATTGATTGAGTTTATGTCCAAATTACTCAACCTGGCTCAGTATTGCTGGTTCGAATCGCGGGTTTCTATTCTATAAAGTGTTATTTCAGAAGGTGATAGTAAAATAGAAACTCTACCATTAAAATCGGATGTTATAAAAAAAACATTAATCAATATTGTCAAGTAGATTAGACATAGCTATTATATACCTATAGGCCATTGTCAAATTTAACAGTGTAAGTTTATTTACAGAAGTAGAAAAAATAATTAATTACGATGTTTTATGGGAACACAAGTAGAAAAAATTATTGTAATATTACTAAGATTTAGCTTCTGTTTTGAAAAACTTCCATATATTTATAAGTTAATTTGATCTTTATTGTAAAGATATTGTAAAGATTTGTAACTAAGAACTGTAAGAAAGGTACTTAAGTACCTTTCTTACAGTTCTTAGTTACTCACCTATACAAATTTTCTCGATGCGAGTTTTCCCAACAATTCCTTAACATTATGAAAATTAAACACATAATCATTAGATAATAACTCAATATCTATAGGTATATATATATATATTTTAGGTCAAGATTTTTATTCTTTGCCTTTCTTTAAATTTTAGTCAGTACCACGTGGACAAAAAACATATCTTTTTTACCATACGTAGGTATAGTACTTTTCGATCAACAAGTAAAAGTATTATTTGATTGATTTATGTGTAATAAAATCTTGAATAATCTGCTTAAAATTTTCAGAGCGGGTGATCCGAGAATGAAACGCGATGAATCCTTAAAAAGCGTCACCAAGTTCACGTCGGGGCGTCGCCTGAGTGAGACACGGCCGGCGCTCACGCTCGGTTGGCGACAGAATTCACTTACTATAAGCACACTTGCCCAGCAATCCGCTTATTTAGCTGAGAAAGCTTTCAGAGATAGAGAAAGGTATACTGTTGTAATTAGTTACTGAGCAATGTTTTTGTTTAGCTAAATATCAAACAATATTTGTAGTATAAATTTAATCCTAATATAATTCGATGAACATGATGTGATTTCATCTATACATATAAAATTGGAGTGTCTGTTTGTAATATTAAAATAACTGTTTTTAATACATGCATATGAATATAAATAGGGTTAATTTTTGTCAGTCTGTCCGTCTGTTTGTTCCGGCTAATCTGTGAAATGGCTGGACCGATTTTGACGGGACTTTTCTTGGCCAGTAGCTGTAACAAGGAGTAACTTAGACCACTTTTAATTTAGAAAAATAAAGTTAAATTCCACGCGGACGAAGTCGCGAGTACAGCTAGTCTACAATAATATAGAAGGACACCAATATTAACTTGGTAACAATGGCACCAGTGTTAAGGCTGATAATTGAATATACAGCATAATAAGCAGCTAGCTGTGCGTAATAATAATAACCTGTGGTAACATTAATTTGCGCGGGAAAATGTCAGACATACTCTTCTTTTATTCTGCTGTTATTCTATTAAAAATTATATTCCTTAACATATGTAACATTTTATAACTAATATACTAGTTAAAGGAACACAAGTATTAAATATAAAATTATTTTTAGATTTCTCATCATGCACCATGGCTATTATTTTATTTCAGCGCAGAGGAAAAACTCCAAGCAGCTCCAGTTTCTTGGTTTAAATTAGTAAGTATTATATCTATTGTATACCGTTACCATCTTCCAAAAACTTATGTTACTTATAAATAAATATTTTATCTTACCATATATACTATAATGTAATTACCTAACAGCTATTAATTCATTTTAAATTTACAGTAGTATTTCTTTTTAAAATAAAATTCTACAGTTCAGGTTTGCGAAGACATGGGAGCTGCTACTGCTACTTATAGGCATCATTCTAGCCTCAGTGAACGGCTTGTTTGTGCCAATCGGCGTCATAATATACGGAGAATTCACAGCGCTACTAATAGAACGGACAGTGATGACGGGTACTTCAGCTGCCACTCTAACCATATCTCTTTTCGGCGGTGGCAGGATACTGTAAGTCAATTTATAGTTCCGTCGAGGATCTGAATATTTTGCTCATTTGTCATAGAAATTGTAAATCACTAGTGTTTAGAACATATTAATCTTGACAACCCCATAACGGTAGCTAACCTCTCCTAAAATTTGTTTTTCTTTTGCTATATTATTGTGACTTATAAAGTATAAGTCACAGTAGTCTTTACCGTTTACATACAAAATGCAGTTCCTTGGAACCATTAGTTGAAAACTAGGTATTGTAAATTTTGTGGAGATTTTCGCCGATGTTTGAAATTTAAAAAACAAATAGTATGAAATAATTGTACTAATGTAATTTGTGAAAGAAAATTACATAAAATACAAAAAAATACCACTTTTATCCTTTAGTGGTCGTTATGAAATTAACTAAAGAATCCTAATTCGAATAATTAGTGAAAACGAAGCATCGTAAAAAATGCGCAGTTTAGATATGACTAGATACTTACATATACCTGATTTTCCGAGCCCTGAGAATCTACTGTCGAATCAATAACAACCCAAAAGTAATTCTAATATCTAAAAATAATGAAAATAATCATAGTTATGATACATATGTTTTATAAAATCAGAGCTGATGGCATGACGATGTGATTTGCAGAACAAACGCAAGTGCGGAGGAGAACAGACTGGCGTTGATTGAAGACTCACAAGCGTTCGGCATTGGATGCTTTGTATTCTCGGTATTGCAGTTCGTCGTGGGTGCAATCAGCGTTGATCTCTTCAACTTTGCCGCACTTAGACAGGTATCTTTGCAATAGGTTCAAATATGATGTACTAGGTATAGCCCGCGACTTGGTACGCATACTATCATTTCATCATGTGTAGTTCCAATTGAACTTTATATCTGCCACATATGTTAGAATTGGAAAGGGGATTAAAAACAGCAATCAATGTGTACCCCAATACAGGATAGGACAGCCTATGTATTAAAATAGACAGTTTCATTGAAAATTGGACTGAAGCTTGATCTACCTAATTAATTATAATAATATTTAATAATAGAGAAAAGAATAATATTAATATTAATAATAGAAATAATAATATTTCACCCTTATTTCACCGCTTCTAGATATTTATTTGAGATAAAAGATGTCCGTTTTCGTTATACAATCTATCTTTAAGATTATTAAGATATATTCAAAAAATATAAGTCACCTTAATAAAAATTATGAAGTACTGGCAGTAGAATGTAGGAAGAACCCAACGTTTTCACAAAACAATTTTCTTATAAGAATGTACTAAACATAAAATAGGCCAAAATATCTGAGAAATTACCTTATGTTTTAAAGAACAAAAAAATACAAATTTGTTTGATTATTGTATCTTATTTTGCAGATTGAGAGAGTGAAACAAAGATTCCTGCAATCAGTGCTTCGTCAAGACATCACTTGGTATGATCTGAACACGACAATGAATTTTGCTACCAAGGTTTCCGAGTAAGTTTATTTTTCAAATTATTAAATGACATATAAAAAAGATATCTATATTTTTCCGTGTAGTAATGGAAGTATCATTACTATAATTTTATTTCATTAGCAAGATAGCACCAGTAACAGGCAACTATTTAAACAAATTACAAAAAGAAAAGAAATCATAATTAAAATCTTTTTTTTTCGGACTACTCTATTGCTGTTGGCCGCAGATGGCCTTTACAGCTTCACCGGACGATAGGGAGCGAGTGCAGATGGCACTCCAGACCAGCGGAAGGACTTATGAAGCGGCTGAAGACCAACTCCCGCATGACGGATACGACTTTAGTCTGAGGGCACCACTAGGGGTTCCAAGCTCGGCTGAGGCCGTAGTAATTTCGATCCCAGTTTAAATTGATTAAAACCCTATAGGTACCTAATTAGGTACCTGCCAAAGCAGAGATCGTGTTCTGTGTTGGTGTCCATCTGTTACGCCACAACCTAATCCTAATAACTAATTACAAGTTTTTTATTTGCAGTGATGTAGAGAAGTATCGTGAAGGTATAGGTGAGAAGGTCCCCATGTTAGTATACCTGGTTATGTCGTTTGTAACTGCCGTTATTATTTCGTTCTGCTATGGCTGGGAGCTCACCCTGATCATCCTGTCATGTGCGCCTGTCATTATTGCCACCACAGCTGTCGTTGCTAAGGTAATTGTTATGAAATTATGAATGCGTAATAGCAGATGATATCTCAGCTAATTATTTGCTACCTATTATAAATGTGAATGTGTTTTTACCTCTTCACGACTACATGGAAATACAGTTCCTAAAGAAATTTTATATAGAGATACCTATATATCTGTTCCGGTTTCATTAGTTGCGATTACTGAATACCTGGATGTCATTTCTGATGTCGTAAGTTTACGTGCTCAATTTTTTTTATGGATGATAATGGAATTGTGCACCCGCCTGCGCAAACGGTTTACGCTAGAGGGGTACCACTAGAGGTTAGGTCAGTTAGTTCATCATGACAAATTCATCAAGAATTTATCACGATTGTTTCCAGGCGGAACCACATAGTGGTCAACCTGACATGGTACATTGCTAGCAATAAGGTCATCAGACCACATTACTAACAATCTTCTTTCCCCTAAAACCGTGTTCAATTTGTAATTTTGGTATATTATTATTACATTATTACATTATGTTTAAAAAAACCTTGTAAAAAAATTGTAGATTCAGGCGTCTTTAACAAGTCAAGAACTATCAGCATACAGTGTGGCGGGTGTCGTTGCCGAAGAAGTGTTGTCAGCAATAAGAACAGTTGTTGCATTTGGTGGAGAAAAAAAAGAAATTGCACGGTATGTAACAAAAAATAACATCAAAATTGTCGGATGTAGTTTATCGACAAACAATTTTTTACGTAACTTGAATGCAAACAAGTTGTAATCCTACTTAATTACAATAGTATATCATACATATATTTCCATATATACTATAATTTCGGTGTTTTGCAGAATTACTCTATATATTTTCTATTATATTTCCTTTTTCAATGCAGTATATTGTACTACTTTTTACATACTATTTTTACTTTTAATATACTGTTTTACTTCGAATATGCATAACTCTTTCTAAATGACGGATATTCAGTTTTTTAATAATAATTTCTAAATTTTCAGCTATAGCGCACGATTAGATCCAGCCAAGAAAATGGGGACCAAAAAGGGAATATGGTCGGGACTAGGCAGTGGTGTTATGTGGTTCATCATATACTGCACTTATTCATTGGCCTTTTGGTATGGTGTCGGCCTCATCTTAGAGAGCAGACAAGAAGCAAAACCCGTCTATACGCCTGCTGTGCTAATGATTGTAAGCTTAAAATAGTTAAAGACGTTTGCATTACAGATAATTGATTTTAAAATTTATTAGTAATAATGTGCACTATGTATCCGTCGTTGTTGGTTAGGAAACCTTATATGAAGTCGAAATAGGTATTTGAAAGACGAAAACAATAAGTTCATGAAATTCCTACATAAATATAAAAAAATATTTCAAAGAGATTGAGTGAGATATAATATGAAATGTACATTATTAATATATTATAAATGATTAATACAGGATTTATAATAGTTATTCTCTAATATAAAAAGAATAAAATATAAAGTAAAACCGCCTTTCCACAGATATTCTTCAGCGTCCTGCAAGGCGCACAAAATGTAGGACTGACGTCCCCTCACATGGAAGCTATAACAAGTGCCCGAGCGTCTGCTGGGGCTATATTCTCTGTTCTAGATAGGAAACCCGTTATAGATAGTCTCTCCAACGAAGGAGATAAGCCGGAACTCACAGGAGACCTGGAATTAAAGGACGTTTACTTCAAATACCCGGCTAGGCCAGATGTACAGGTATGTGAAATATTTAATATCTTATAATTTTAATTGTTGTATAAAAATACAAAGAACATTGAGAGTTTTGCTTGTTGATTTAAAGTAAGAATTAAAAAAAAGAGAAAGAAACAGCAAACGAGAACTACCATAAATCTGTAAAGATATATCGCGTCACCGCGCACGAGAGTAGTTATCTTAGTGTAAATGAAAAAGTCGTTGGAGCCATCAGGAAGTAAAGTTTTAGGGGATTGAGCTGATTATTACTTCCTCTAAAAATTGTTAGATAGTTTTTGCATTATATATCATAATACAAAAATGGATAATACAGATTGGGATAAGGACAATCTCTGATATTGTATTTAGGGCAAAAAATCAAGTTCAATAGCTTTAATATAATTTCAGGTTTTAAATGGAATCAATTTGAAATTAAACCGAAATGAAACGGTTGCGTTAGTGGGCTCGAGTGGTTGTGGCAAGTCGACCGTATTGCAGCTGTTGCAGCGCATGTACGATCCCGAAACGGGATCCGTGACTGCATCAGGAAATGACTTAAGGAACATCAATGTTAGACACTTACGAAACCATATAGCCGTGGTCGGCCAGGAACCAGTACTATTTGCTGGTACAATAAAGGACAATATTAGGTATATCATGATATTTTAACATATTTAAATACTTATCGAATAATACTAAACTTTTAAAATTCAATAATAACAAAAATCATTGAATTCTATAATTGAACATTTTTACATTCCAATTACTTAGTAACGTCTTCGCAATTTCGTATCCAATACCAGTAGTTAATAAAACATGCACGATATTTTATGGTAGCAAGTTTCTTTAACTACTTACTGGATATTGCAAAAAAACCTTTTTAAAATGGATCGGACTTTGTTTTATAATCTTTCCTTAAGTATTTTTCGAGTAGTCCGATAGCTTATGATATTCATTCGCTCAAAAATCAAAACAATCCCTAATTATTTTCAGAATGAGTAACCCATCTTGTACAGATGAAGAAATAATTGTCGCTGCTAAACAGGCATATTGTCATAAATTTATCCAAAAATTACCCGAGGTAGGTATGGCAAATATTTTTTATTATTATATGTAAGATCACAAGTAGTACACTCTGATACCCACTAATAATAAAACTTCTATTATGTCTGAAGGTAGATTCAATTAATATGGCTACAATACATCAACATCTAAGGTCATAAATCTGATAATTAAAAGTTTAGCTACACTTACAAGTAAATATAGACGAAAAATTAAATAATTAATATTTTTGTTTTCGCGTAGGTTAACTGTAACTAGCAGTACTAGAGTTAGTATATAATTATTTTCTTCCTACATTAAAATCTATCAAAACTTGGATATACCACAACTTAAACTTCAGGGCTACGACACATTAATCGGCGAACGTGGTGCCCAACTGTCAGGTGGACAGAAGCAGCGTATCGCCATCGCACGGGCTCTTGTCCGGAGGCCCAAGATCTTACTGCTAGACGAGGCCACTTCAGCTCTAGACTCGCACAGTGAAGCGAAGGTTCAAAGAGCGTTAGACGCAGCCGCTCATGGAAGAACCACTGTCATGGTGAGCCACAGGTAGATATAAACGGTTCGTGTTGATCATGTTTCTTTAAAATAACTTTATTAAAAAGTATGGTCATTGCAATGAGAAATGTATCTCTAATAGACTAGAGAGAGGTAGATAGAAAGATATCTAGAGTATCAAATAGGACCTCTACTACTCTAATGCTGTTTGAAACAAATTGTTGTAACTTAGAATTTACGTTCAAGAAAAGAGCGTAAATAAATACAATAATTTACCTCTTCGTGTCAGTGTACGAGTATTTGATATTTAGTATGACTTTATTATTTATTAATATTGTAGGCTAGCTACAGTTCTGAATGCAAACCGCATTATATTCATCGATAAAGGAGAAGTGGTGGAAGAAGGTACACATGAAGAGTTAATCCAACAAAAAGGCAGATATTATCACTTGGTTCTGGAGAACGAACCCAGCATGGCACCGCAATCCGCTAATAATAACGTAACAAAACGTATGCATAATAATATATTCTGACTTTTATAATATAAAGTACAATGATGTCAGGTGGATATGCTAAGACGATTTTTTTTAGTCTCGAACATAAAAGATCCTGATTTATTTTAAAACTTAGTGCCAACCTCTTTTATTTTGTAACGATAAAAATTATTAATACAAGCAAAGTTAAGATATTTTTTATCATTTTGTACTATTGTACTTGGTCTAATTTTTCTTTTAATGTTGTAGATACTGCAAATGGAGAATTGGAAAAAGGTGGGATTCAGATTTCAGTTTCATTCCAAAGTGTTTGGAAAATGTTTCATTCTTTATATTTATACAAATCTCCTAATTCTCTCTCCAGCTACATTCTAATAATATAATAAGCATGCTACCAAATGTTATTCCATAATTGTTTTTCTGTTCACTTTTCTGTTCTGATCACATTTCAAAAGTTTTATATTGCTTTATAAGAAATATATTTAAGTTTTAAACTTACCTAATGCTTATATCTACATAGATATCTATCTATATAGAGTCTTGTCCATATATAACTTCTGCGTCTGTAAGGAGGTTTATGGCAGATATTTCCGTTTAATGTTCCTTGTTCAGTGTAATGTTCTTCTTACATATTTTTTCTGTATGTTATTTATCCAGTTCCACTGGTTTACTTACTCCTACTTTCATTATTTTAGAGACTGCATGATGCTTTGTGTGCGGTTTGATCTGATTCGTTATTACATATACATATACTGCACACAATCTTTTTACTCGAATTCCACATACTCTTAACGAATCTGTATATTGTAGATAGATAGATTGTACTTTATTTGTAATATATAGTAAAGAAAATATAAACAATAGGTATATTAAAGAACTCATGTATAAATATAATAAGGCCGCCTTTTTCCTCAAAGCAATATTTTCAAGACTGTATATTGTAATTTCAAATAAACTACTTTGTTTCATGTAATATATATTTTTAAGAATAAGTATACCTATATTTTAATGTATTTTTAAGAGATTAATAAATTACCTAATAAAATATTAATTCTACCTTGACATAAAAAATACAACTACAAACAAATAACATAGTTCGTTAAAATTACATATGCCTATACTACCTATACTAAATATATCGAAGCTTTAGTAACTATTCAATTATTAAATAAATTTTACAACGTATTTAAAATATTTTATAGATGCTAAACTTCACCGTCCGAAATTACAAAAGTTGGCTTCAGTGGAATCCATAATGAGTACCATGACAGATGGGGATTCTGACTCTGAGGACAGTTTGGTTTTGGAAGACGACAAACAACAAGAATTGAAGCCAACTACATGGGAAATAATGAAATTGTGTGAGCCAGAGAAGTATTGGATGGTGGTTGGTGTATTGGCCGCTTTTGCTGTCGGATCAAGCTTTCCTATGTTCGCGGTGCTGTTCGGCGAAACATTTGGCGTAAGTAGTTTATTTTTATGTTAAATCTATTCTTTCATATACATACAACTAGAGATGATCAGCGTGAGCTCATGAGCAAGAACCTACGTACATACATATATAATAGGACGTAAATGTATAATATATAGACTGTATGGACAATTCATCTTTTTCAGTTATTAGAAAGCAAAGATGATAACTGGGTGCGTGGCGAGACAAATTTCATTGCCATTTTGTTCCTAATAGTGGGTGTAATGACTGGAGTCGGCATTTTCTTCCAAATATTCATATTCAATTTAACTGGCGTAAGGCTGACAGCTAGGCTCAGGTAAGTTACTTTTATTTCTAAGAATATTTTGATAGATTTAATCCTGGTTGGCATACTAAATCACAATTTAATGTTAGCATTTATCGAAGTATATAAAGTACCCCATACAGTAAAAAAAGTGGAATTTCTATAGATATCTGATCTGCCCAATGTATTCAGTTCCAGGAAAACTATCACTTAACTAATGGATCTCCCGCAATGTACATAAGAAAATAATAGAAATATAAACAAGTTTAATTTTGATCTATATTAAGTACAGATGAATCAAAATAATCTAAGGACATTTTGTTTATCACAGTCACTGTTGTTTTCTAAGGAAATGTTCCTCATCAGAGTCACTATTGTAACTCTATTTTTAATCTGGTTGTACAAAGTATATAGAGGTGTTTATTTATTTCAGAGTGGCAGCCTTTGAAACGATGTTGAAACAAGAAATAGGATGGTTCGACGACCCACTTAATGGAATCGGTGCTCTGTGTTCTCGACTAGCAGCTGACGCAGCTGCTGTCCAAGGTGTAAGTATGGATGAAAATAATATCTAATTCTGTGATGAACACAATATAGCGCGCATGTACTTATACTTTATTATCCTTTATTATCAAAAGGGGGCAAATTAGTAATAGCGTAATAAACTAGTAGATACAATCAAAACCTTTTTTATACGACCACAATCCCTGATGGGAAAGACGGACATTTACCTATTCATGTGGATGTCACAAAATAAGTATTAAATTACATGCAACCTTTGCAATTCGTGCTTATTTGAACCTACGACAATGTTAGCTGATATCTAAAAAAATGCTCAAGCATACGTCTTTGTACAATTTCTCTCTAGCATAGACAAGAGCCTTTTTGAGCCTACTATCACTTTATTCGTATTATCCAGGCTACAGGCTCCCGTATCGGTGCACTGATGCAAGCGACAGCCACCATTGCCATTGGTATAACATTGTCCATGTACTATACGTGGCAGATGACACTAGTATCACTAGTATCTGTGCCTATGGTCATTGTGGCTGTACTCCTGGAAGGCAGGGTGCTCTCAGCGGGGATGGATAGTGTCAGAGAATCGTCAAATAAAGCAACAACCATCGCCACCGAAGCCATTACCAATATTAGGACGGTGTCCGCATTTTGTAAGTACATGCTAAGTATTAATTGGCAATTGGAATTGAAAGTTACTTTGCTATCACATTTCATCACAAGAATTTTACATTATTTCATTGATGAATAATAATAACTCCGGGACAATTCACACAGCGCTTTCTAGTTCCAAGTTATTCAGCTTATATTATGGGTACCATATAACTAATATAAATACTGAAATATATTTTATTGTAAATATGTAGGTACATAATATGCATAATATGAGGATACGATATAATATTATGAATTTAAATGTTTGTACTATGCGAGAAATTGAACCCGCGACCATCAAAAGTAAGGCATATGCCTATAACGCATAAAATATTTTACTAGCAAGTATATACCACATCGATGAGATTATATCTGCAGTGATTAGCGTTTAAACAATACTGGCAGTAGTTAATACCAAAATATTTCAGGTGGTGAAGATGGAGTTCTAAGTCGATACCAGAAGGCAGGCATAGAGGCTCGTAACAAAGCTATTAAGAGTATGAGGTGGCGTGGATCAGTGTTTTCATTTGGACAGACAGCCCCCGTCGCCGGTTACGCCCTCTCCCTCTGGTACGGGGGTGTACTCGTCGCTAACAAGCAAGTACATTATAAGGACGTCATCAAGTGAGTTCACATATTAAGATCGCCTGAACTGATTGAAGGTTTCAACAGACTTAAGTCTATATTCGATCTAATACATTGTATGTACATAGAATACATATAGTCATATAGTGTGTAAGATTTCGGATTCCAATTGGGCTGGCGGATAGGAAGTCTTCTTAAAATAGCGGACTATCAGCAACATTGCTAACAAAGAGAGGAGGTGCCAGTCTGTCTTCATGGAAATCATCGTAATAAATTTCTGCGAATGGACTACGATAATTGTAATGAGTGGTAATAAGCCGTCATAGTCATAATGCGTGACGGTACAGATTATAATAAGACCGGATAAATTTGAGGCCATCTCTATCGCCTTTAGCTCTACTATGAGTGATTACACTAACCAGTATAATCACATATACACTTGTCATTTAGTACGAATTAACCATTTTTTCTAAGACTGTCAGCAATTTTAACCACGTCCCTCCCCTTACCGTCAATTTTATACATATTCTTTATTTCACTTTGAAATACAGTCACAATCTTAAAGACAATATTATAGACAATTTGAGCAAAGATGGATTTCCTTCTATAAGAGGTCTCTATCAATCGACCCAGCGTGTCATAACTAGTATTGACTGGGTAACATTAGCGTAACTTATAGTAGTGTATTGAAATGTCCCAATTGATAAATTTTCACTAAGCCTCTGATAAAAACCGATGGTCTCGTTGTTCGGCAGAGTATCAGAGGCTCTGATATTCGGCGCATGGATGATGGGCCAAGCTCTGGCGTTCGCTCCGAACTTCGGCGCAGCTGTGAGCGCAGCGGGCCGCGTGATGACGCTACTTCAGCGACGTCCGCTCGTCGAGAGCACTCATGCGCCCGCTATAGCAGAGAACTATGTTAGTATTCAGCTCTTGTTGTTGTTGTGGATATATGCTTCCAATATTACTTTTACTTTTTATTATTACATACTAGTTTTATATCGCAATTTCATCTGCATGATTGGAAGCAAATAATTGGCGATAATATTATGCTGATATTTATATATGTAGGTGATAGATGGGCGGTCGGTTTCTTTGCCATTCCCGTTACATAAAACAAGCTGGTCTGGTTACAAGAACTTACAAAGTAACGAACAAGTTTATTTTTACACTTGAGCAATTTTATTTCTTTGAAACAAATCGTAACACGGTATTTCCAGGTTGCCGACGGTAAGATTCAGTACAAAAACATAAAATTCCGTTATCCTACAAGGAGAGAAGTGGAAGTACTTCGTGGGCTTTCGTTATCGATACCAAGTGGAAAGCGAGTCGCTTTAGTGGGACCAAGTGGCTGCGGCAAATCCACCCTCATACAACTGTTGCAAAGGCTTTACGATCCTGATGATGGCAATGTGGTAAGTCCAAACAAAATTAAAATATTTTTATTCATGTAAGTTTAATACCAGAGACTTATGATAAGTAAAATCAATGGTCAATTCGGAATATGATTTCGAACCAAAATTATATGTAGCAATATTCCTATTTTCTAAAATTTTGTCTATTAACAGTAATTTATAATAATAAAAACTGGAAATAAATTACAAATAATCTAGTATTTGTTGTTTACTGTTAGGTATATAATATAAGGTACAACAAAACTGAAATTAATATGAATCAATGTGATTAAATGTGAAATATTGTAATATCTTAAAAACTAGGGCTGCTATTAACAAATTAGTATTTTGTGAGCGTATTGAGTAGGTCTGAGAATCGGCCAACATCTTTTTTTATCCCCCTAAATGTTAGGGGTAGTCCACCCCTAAATTTTATTTTTTATTTTTTAGAGTTGTGAAATTTTGATGACCGACGTAATCAATACGATTTTATTGCTATATCTAATGTAACAATGACTTTTTTATACAAATAAATTTATAATCCATTAATTCTACATTCCCTTAGTACTTGGACGACTACAGCATCACAAATGACATGCGACTCACAACTCTACGTAAGAATCTGGGTATAGTGTCACAAGAGCCGGTATTATTTGATCGGACGATAGCAGAAAACATAGCCTACGGTGACAATACTAGGGTAGTCACTATTGAAGAGATCGTTACGGCAGCTAAGGCTGCTAATGTACATTCATTCATATCGGCATTACCGACGGTGAGTTGTGCTACTTCATAATTCAAATAAACATCTCATCTATCTATATACTCACTTTCTTATTCCTCTACTTCTTTAAGCTATTGATCTGTTCTATCATTTCCTTGTAGATATTTTATTATTATTTCTTTATGAACTAAAATGGCGAGCAAACTTGTGCTAATCTAGAGAACATAAAATACCAAGTCAGTAATTCCAATGCCTTATCTTTCACACAACTTACCAAACTGCTTGTGTTGATAACTATGCTACTTAATTGGACTGGAATTTAATTTATGATCAAGTAAAATAATATCAATGAAGGTTGGGGTTACGGAGTTATTTGCTTTTACGGAGTTATTTGCTTCTATAGATGGAGCCTGTGTTCGACTACACAAGACAATTGTGACTATAACCATCTTTGGGAAAGCACTTGACATTCAAACTTTTGTTCTCGACTTTGTCGGACTTCTACCTATTTGCTGGTATTAATCCAATGGTAAATATAGGAACAAATGGGACAATGCAACGTTTTTGATCTAAAGTGCTAATAACTTAAAATGACGAGCAAGGATAATTATTCATGTGAAAATGAAGAAGAAAGAAAAAGAACGACTATCTTAATTATACCTAAGTGTAAAAGAAACTATTGCCAGTTAAGTTTATAAAATCTGTTGTTAATCTGCTGTTTACTATCAGGGCTACGATACAAGAATTGGGGCGCGTGCATCTCAACTGTCTGGCGGACAGAAGCAGAGAATTGCCATTGCACGGGCACTGGTGCGGAATCCTCGAGTTTTGCTATTGGATGAAGCCACGTCCGCCTTAGATACACATAGTGAAAAGGTATACAAAAAGGTGTACAAAATCCTGTACATATTCTTTAAATGAGCTATTCAAACTGCGTATGATATAGTTTGATTGAAGTTGTAAGTAGAAAAATATGTAGGTAAATCTTAGTTTTATATATATATAATAATATATAATATCATATCAATGGCATGTAAATATTATATATCAACATACGAAAATTTGTGTTTGAAGAATATATTAATCAAAGGAAAGGCAATACCTATGTATAAATCTGTAATATATAGTCTTTTAAACTTTCGTGTTTAATATACATTATTTAAGGTAGAGATAAATACCTTTATTTGCCATAAAATTATTCGTGTTAAGACCCGTATAATAATTTAAATAAAATATATAGTCTGTCTTTACCTCGTCGTGGTCGAATAATATGGGTACATATTATTTGACCGCGACACGTCGAGTACAGAAACTCAAATACTTAACATAAAAATCAGTTTCATTTCTCGTCAGCTCACATGTATGGCATCTGCCATAAATGTATGCTGACGAAAAAATAAAGAAAATAAATGCATTTAAATATCTATGTATAGAAATATACAATTGCTAGGTTTTTGATACCACTGTCTTTGTCTATACAGTGGTATCAAAAACCTACCAATTTTATATGGTTCTTCAGAATACACTTCGATTTAAATTTTCACATTCAGATAGTACAAGAAGCCCTGGACCGTGCTAGCGAAGGTCGAACATGTCTGATCATCGCCCACCGCCTGGCGACCATACAGAACGCCGACATGATTTGCGTCCTTGACCGCGGTGTGGTGGCCGAGACCGGAACCCACGACCAGCTCATAGCCAGCAAGGGGATATACGCCAAACTGTATGAACTTCAGTGTGGATTCGTGGAGGAAAGTGATGAGAATTTAGAAACTGCGGCTGCTTAATTTGAGAATTTGTGGGCATGTATTTATGGTCTATATCTGTTTGTTTGCATATTGGTAAAATCAAAATCTATGAGGCTTTGTAAGTATACCATGGATTTGGAAAGATGGAATCGCAAAAAAATCTCATAAGGTCTTATTTTGTAACAAGATACAAAACTCAATTATCACTTATATGAATATGAAATTAAAGAATGATTTTAAAATCATTCTTTAATTTCACATTCATATATATATTCATAAGTGATAATACATATATATTACAGTCAATTGCGGCATTAGGGCCGCAATTCACTCCATTATATTTAAAAAAATAAAATATGTACCTAAAGTTTTGTCAAACAACGTAATTAACATTGCTATTAAATGGTTTCATTCATGCACACTAAAATTATATACAAACTGGTACCTAACAACATTTATCAGACTTTAAAAATCATGGCTAAGGTGAGATTATTTCGTGCGTATGCCTATCGTCGAGTTGCTGAAAATTATATTATACTTGTATGTAAACATATGTGTTAAATTAAATAAACTAGTCATCGTAGAGACTGCCAAATTCTTTCAAATAGATACTATATTCTAAGTATAAAAAATAAGTATGTGCGTTGAAATCTATTTATAATTTAGTACCTTAATAGAATAGAATCCAAACATTCCCTTTTATTCCTGAACCCGGAACATTCCCACGAATACTAAAATATTAGTTTAAAAACCTAACATAATTTATTTCAATTTATTAATCCATTAATCCTACTGTAGTTCTAATTTAATGTTACTCAATGTACAAAGACATATTTTTTGCATCAAGTGTGCCTTCGATTGTTACAATATTGTATTATATCTAATAAGAAAGTATGTATTTATTGTCACATGTTATACAGTGGCATATAACATAATATTGTTAATCTTATTCAATTTTACTTCAGTATTCTGCAAGCATCTTCTTAGCATTTTCTAGCGGTAGGTAAAGAAAATCTATAAGTACCTAACTTTATTATGGATTTCCAAAGTGTGCTCAATTAAAACAACCAAATTGTTATTTTTATATCGTTATATATGAACGCGTGTTAATTCCTGAATTATAAAAACATATTTAAAAAGTTGTATAGAGTATATTAATATTTAAATATAATTAAAAAGACATAAATTGTAGTCATCATTTCTTATCCTTTAATATAAATAACTTTTCCTTTATTTCAATCGGTGAGTACGAAGTTGAATAAAAAAGTTGAGAGAGATAATTTTCGTAAATATGATATCATATATATTCTTCAAAATTGTACCTTTGATAGTAATGGTAATAATTAAAAGATATAAATTTGTTTTCCATCTCATTTCCGTGGGGCAACTTCGACATGTGAAAGAACCTGGTCTGGCCTAACGTTGCGAATCTTTGACTCGTAATTCTTATAATATATATCGGCAGCTAATTCTTCTACATCTACCTCTGGATCTTTCTTAGATTGTTGTGTTGCTTCCTCTATTTCCTTTTTAACTTTAATATCAATTTCCTAAAACGTTTTTACAGTCAATTTCTTATCTATTTTAGTTTTATATCGACTCTATAGATATAATATCTACTGTGGTATCCCTAGTAATTGAGAAAATAAAGTGTTAAAAGAAACCTTAACCTTGAAGGTTATACTTAAGTATACACAATTTTTAATGTTTAATGAAATTACTCAGACAAGATAGGTATTTTATATGTACTAGCATATTTCCGCAATTTTATCCGCATTACTATTACAGATTAGCTATAGAGTAGCAAATGTCTTTCTTTATCCCAAATGCTATATGTGGGAAATTTCACGACAATTAGTTGAAATGGGAAAGGGTAACATACTAACGTTTTTATAATATCTATCAGTTACAATATCTTTGCAAATAGGCTATACCTTCAGCTGACCAGCCGTGACGAGTTCCTTAGTAATTTGCTCTTTAAAGGTTGTGATAGGATCCTTAGTTTGCCGCATTTGCTGCACCTCTTCACGACTGCGATAGGATGTGCCAGGGTCAGACATGGAGTGCCCGTGGAAACGATATGTCGACATTTCCATTACTAGCGGACCTGACATTTAAATATTCTTTATAATCTATCTAGATACCAAGTTTATGGTGTTTTATGTAATTGAAAGAGCAAACAAATTGACTTTGATTGAAAACTGCCCACCTAATGGTAAATGGTAACTATGGGACACAGTTAAGTACCTAGACTTACACTGTACACACACTTACTTAAGTAACTACACTATAAACTTGGTATCTAGATTAATATCTAGATACCAAGTAATCTTAAAGATAATAATTGCAATTAATTATGACGAGTAAAACAAATTATATGTATATTGTATAAAGTGTCTCAACCCACCTTGCTTTTTTTCTATTGGTATTTAGTACATAAGATCAATATTTTTATGTACATTTTATCTGTTCTCTATCATCTGAAACCATCGTCTCAACCGACGACATCGTATTGCTGTCCAGCAACAGTAACCATCATCTGTATACTTGAACGGCATTACGACTATCACGTCATTATGTGACGCAACGCCCGTAATATCACATGCTATTACGGAAAACTAAATTCACTTACCTCTTACACTGTAATTTCACTACCTTTTCTCAACAGAAACACAACTTACAAACCAAGCTCCTTGGCGGCTCCATTAGGAAACACTGACGCAGACGACTTTTTAAAAAGTTTTATTAAAATTAAAAATGTATTTATAAGATATTTTTTCTTCTGAATGAAGGATAAGTATTAAATTTCATATGCACCTTAATTGTTCACTGACCTTTACCGCTGGTACAATGTTCAATGCCGAATTTTGTCGCCTCTTTCGTCGTAAGTACGTCCATAGCATCCACCCACAGCCCGGGCACGTAGTCTCCGCGTGTGTAATACTCAGTGGACGCTGATGACCGATTGGCACTTGTACCCATACCTTAGGAACATGAAGACCTTCTCATTACTGAGGCCTCTCAATGCAAAAATAGAATAGACTAGCAGAATACGAATAATCATTGTTCAAATAATCTTAACACTTAATTTTTTATTTGAGTACTCATTCACAAAGTAAGATTTTTATGAATGAAAATAAACATGTAGAAATTATCTATATACCTATATCACAAACAAGTCTCATAGTCATAGTCAAGTCTATATCAATTTACAAAAACATTATACCATACCATAAACATATTACCATATCTATTATTTTCGCAAACAAAAACACAGGGCAAACTCCATAGTTTCGCCATATTGAAGGCTTCGAATAACTGGCCCTGATTCGCCGCTCCATCGCCATATAGGCAAAAGTTGACACCACCATCATCATTATATTTGTGAGCGAGCCCTGCACCAGCGCCTAGAGGTACCTGGTGACCATTTATTGCAAAGAGTGTAGAGAAATTAAAACACGCCTGAGATTTCATAAATAGTAGAGCACGATGCATGAGAACACGAATGGGGCCCGCTTACGTTAAATTTCTCGATACTAATTTCTCGAGTTTCTCAAGTTGTTCGAGAATAAAACAAACAAATTTTAAAATCAATATAATATTTATTGTCTATTTGTGAGATAAATTTTTATCTTAGGATTAATTTACTAGTCTAATTAGTACAATAACAAAAAAAACTCTAATAAAGTATTAAAATAAAATACTAAAGCATTTTATGTCTGTCAATAGTTCTCAATAGGTATCGATCTCCATTGATATTATATGTATATAATTCTTCAGTGATTTTTCTCATCTCGACTTTTACGTCGATTTCCCGGTTTTCCTCGACTCGAGAAATTTTGAGCAAAAATCCTAACTGGAAACTAACTGGAAAATTAATTAGTATCAGGATACCTGAGCTCCGACGATGCCATTGCCTCCAAAAAAGTTTTTAGCGTACATATGCATAGAGCCTCCTTTGCCTCTGGAGCAGCCTGTCTTGCGGCCGGTGAGTTCTGCTAGCACTCCCAACGCACTAACCCCCATCAAATAGGCCCAGCTGTGACATCTGTATGACGTGATTAGCGTGTCTACATTACGCATTGCTGCTCGCATGCCTATAGCTACCGCTTCTTGGCCTAGTAAAATTACCAAAAATATATAATCTAAAATAAGTGTAAATTTGTTACTGTAGTATCACATAAAAAAATATTAAGATAGGTAAGCACCTAGAGATAGGTACGTAGCTAATAATTCGAACTGTTACATCTTAACTAATAGGTATATTAATACAAGACATAGTAAGTTTGTTTGATTTTACACCTTAATGACTTGTAATGAGAGATTAGATTACGTCATTAAATTAATGCCTACTACTTTGAAATATAATGTAAGTCTGTTAATACACATTCGAATTAGTTGTCAGATTGCCTGAATGAGGCTAAAGTTTCTCGTCCTCGTTGGACATGGGCGATGTAGCAATCAAAGTGACAAATTAGCGCCTATCTTCTAGTAGCTAGGTACTGTATGTATATTAACAGCCTTAGAAGTGAACACTTCGTTCACTTCTAAGGCTCGGTTCGGTACCTTTAAACATCTGAGATTGGGTCAGTCATAAATTATATGAAGTAAGTACTAGCTCCTTTTAACACGTATACTTTTTTATCTGACCTTTAGTATTAAACTGTAAATTTTCAGTATCGGACAAACCTGAGTATAGATGACAAAATCCGCGGATAGCCTTCTCCTGGTACAGGTTTCCTGAAGCACTCTCTAACCGTCGTAATACAACCAGATTTTCATACATTTTCAATGCATCATCCGCAGTAAGGGTGGACGTAGATGCAGGGCCTCTGTCTAGTTTATGCAGTTTGAATGGCTAAAAAACACGTTCAAATGGTTCCATAAATTATGTCACAGAAATTATTTTCACCCCCTTCCCTCTGTCACAGGTGTTTTTTTTAGTACTCCCAGGGTTGGGTGGGGTCCTGTCACTGCCGAATATAATTCGGAGTATAGTGAGTAACGAGAGGTCGTGGCTGGCGGTAAACGCCTTCTGCGAGGGAGTTATCTCGCGGAAAGAGGCGGCGGAGGGGGAGCGGATGTCTGATTCTTCCGCTACAGTTATCCGGCTTAGAGGCAGAGGCGTACCCAACTCCGCCCCAACTCCATCCCCAAGTAGTGACGGGGTGCTGTCTTTGAGAGAGGCAGGACCCTAACCACGCGTGTACCCACATGCTTCCATAATTGAGTAGGACGAGATAAGGCCTGCCGTACACCATCTACACGGCGGGCCAATGCTTCTTGAGCTACGAATTTTATTTAATAAGTAAATATTAAATAAATAAGCTTGGACAGTTAACAGATGGTCATCTAGTAAGCAGAGCTTGTTATGGGTACTAGACAACTGATATAAATACTTCGATTTTGTAAATACATACATAATATACTTAGAAAACATCCAGACCGATACAATCACACTCATGAATACAAATGTTTGCACCGTGCGAGGAATCGAACCCGCGACCATTGGTAGTAATGCGGTGTACTAAACTGCTAGACTACCGAGACCGTAAAAATCAAGTCATATACTCGTATTATTTGGTACATAATTGTTTTTATAGTAATTAACGGTTTAACAAATGCATTCTAGCCAACAACAATAACATTGTTAACCTTAATATCAAAAGTAGCCTCCTGTTTAGTACTATATTTAACGCTTCTCCTAAATGCTAATGTCTGTAAAAAATATTCATTATTACTTCTTAGTAAAAAGTATATTTTTATATATATAAAAATAGTACAGCGTTATTTCTACATTTAAAGTTTTTCAAAAGTCAGTAAGACTCTAAAATAACTGTACCTATATACATTTAAGCCACTACATATGTATATACCTGTATGAAGTGTTTACTGATAAAAGTGGAAACTGTTTTCATCATTTTTAATATCAAAACATCTAACTCCCTATTTGAAAATTACTAATATTATTATTAAAATCTCTTCAAAGCTTTCCAAAATATTTTACGTTGGTGTACGTTTAAATGTTCATTCATAAAATTTAATCACAAAATCTAAACGAAAATTGTAAAAGTAATGAAATTTAATGAAATATGTCAAATTGCATTGATATTAATTTATATACCAAATAGTTTTTACTTATTTACCTGCTAGAAATACAAATTAATCTAGACAAGTAAGTGTAAACATACAATGTAGGTTACGCCATACTTTCGATAGTCGTAAGTTTGAGTCTTGTACGACGGCCTTGGTGCTCTAGCGGTTTAGCACGCTGCCTTATTTCCGATGTTCGCGAGTTCGATTCCTCGCATGGCACAAACATTTTGTATTCATGAGTACGATTGTATGTATCGATCTGGGTGTTTCTATGTATCTTTGTATCAGGTAAACCTTGTGTTATGGGTAATAGATACCCATAACACAAGCTTTACCTAGCTTAACTTGGGTCTAGATGGCGCTGTGTGAATTGTCCTGAAATTATTATTATTATTAGTAGTATTATCTCTTATCTCAGCTTTTGCTGGTTTCATCCATCTGACTATCACCTTTGACTACTACCCGTAAGACAAGCACTATTTAGTAAGGAACTAGATGGCGCTGTGTTTATTGACCAAGGTTATTTATTTATTATGTATAAAGATATAAGACACTGGCAGATGCACTCAGCGATTGCAACAGTTTCATTGGAAATAGACTGCAGACTATCGCAGCTTTGACATTCTTATATATTTTTAATGTATATTTCAACATAAGATATTTGAGTAAAATAGGTCAAAATTAAGAAAATAACATTGAAATTATGTCTTTTAATATATTGATCAAAACAATAATCAATTCGATCATTATTACATAGCTAATGCAACTTTAACAACTCATTAACTCATTCCAAATTTAAAAAAAACAAATTTGTCATTAATATTAACATAGGCTAAACGTAAAAATTATGTTTTACAAATGAAAACTTAAACATACTGAAACCTGTATAAGCAGAATTGGAAAGTGGAGAAGTTTTTATTTATGCAGTTCTACAATAAAGCAGGTTTATATTCGTATTTTATTTATATAGCGTCCCACATAAATAGCTTATATGGGGTCAAATGATGTCGACAATGTATGTATATTTAAATTATTATTATAAATGTATGTGTTTATTAGGCACCTCCATGATGTACATAATCCAATCCCAATGCTAGAGGTATCTCATTTTAAGTAATCTGAATGCGAAAGTGACGAGACCTCATTATAATTTGTTGTTATTATCAATTGTGGAGATTTCTCACTTCTACAGGTTTCGCTGTATAAGCAAAATTATTATAATAATATTATTAAAAATTAGTCATCTAAATAATAGCACATAACCAACATTCTTATTTATAAATAAAAAACAGGCATATGTTTCATAAATAATATTAATTCAACTGTATGTAATTATAACTATTTATTATGATTTTGGCAGTATCACATTCTCTTAAGCTACATTTATAATACATATTTATATACATATAAATAAAAATTATAATTTGTGCACTTATAATTCTGTAACAGTAACAATTTGCCGAATGGTTCTATTATATAAATAAAAATATAATTTGACATAGATTGTTGTATACTATCAATAACTTATTTCGAAAATAAATATTTTATAGATTCAACATATATGGGTAATGTCCCTTATTGTCTTGTTAATTTTATGTAATTAGGTATATATAGATATTATCGTATATAATATATATAATGTAATAAATGTACTATCTGTACAAAATTAGAATAGGAGTGTCAGTGATCTCTGTCTACTTGATTTTAATGGTATTTTTTTAATTAAACACTCCTTAATCCGATTATTTTATACGTAACATATTACGATATAGCGAAACTATAAATTCTTATTTTGATTGTATTCTGTTTACTTTTAAAACAAAACAGTTTATAATCTCATACAATCAATGTTTCATTTGTAATATAATAATGAAATATTTCATGTGTATATATTTTTATAAAATATCTAGGCATACCCAACTCCTACCGAGCATACAATGGTATTATGCTGATTCTATCAGACCTTTTATAACGATGCAAACTATTCCATCTTCTTTTAGCCTCTTAGAGTAAAAAAGGATGCCATGATTAAAAGAATATATTCTTGTTTAACTTTAGAATCAGTATTCTAATTACAGGCCTTATTATCTTATAAATAAAAGCATTAATTGCGTGCGACAACCTCGATATGCTGTAAAGGCGTGTCAGGACAGACACCGCGGATTTCAGATTCTAAATTATTGTAGTATACATCTCCGGAGAGCTCCTCGAGGTCTATTTCACTGTCCGACTTGGCTATTTTGGTTGCTTCTTCTACTTCTTTACGTACTCTTGTGTCAATTTCCTGTTTTAACACAAGCATTTCTTAAATATATGAATTAATATATGACGAATAATGAGGCTTAACAAGCAAACTGGCTAAATACAATAAATTTATAAACGCCTATAAACTTTAATAATGTCAATGTGGCTGGAATTGGCATTATTATTAAATAGATCATTATTTTTTTAGCTATATAAAATAAAATCTAATCAGAAATCATTCATTAATGTAGGCCATTTTAGTAGCTTACGAACGTTAAACTTTTTGCCTACCGTACAGTACAGTAAACAGATTCAATTGAGAAGAACTGGCAAGGAACTCAACTGAACGATTGAACGAAGTTAACATATAAATACTTGTATTATACTATATAGTAATAGTAAAAAATAAAGAAATACCTTAAGTTGATCAGGGGTGGCCAGCTCATTGCTGATGATCTTCTCCTTGAATGAGGTTATGGGATCCCTCGTCTGTCTAACCTCCTGAACCTCGTCTCGGGTACGGTACGACGTGCCAGGATCTGACATCGAGTGACCAGAGTACCGGTATGTCTCCATTTCCATTAGTAGTGGACCTGAATGAGGAAATCATACCATGTTAGACTGCCTCGGTAGTTTAGCGGTTTAGCACACTGCCTTACTCTAATAGATCGCTGGTTCGATTTCTCGCACGCTACAAACATTTGTTACTTATGAGTATGATTGTTTGTATTGGTCTGTATATTTTTATTGTTACATCAGTACTACAATGTTGACAGGGTGTGGCACTGTCAAACATAATATTCAATAAGCTCACATTCATCACTCGGTTAATTAACACACACAAAATTTTTATACCTGACAGATTCAAACTCACGATCGTTGATATCTAGAAGTTAGTACAGTAAACCATAAAGCCACAACGCTCGCAATTAATATTACAACAACACAAATGTGGACTTCTTACCTTTACCACTGGTACAGTAATCAATAGCAAACCGCGTGGCCTCTCTGGTTGCTAGTACATCCATACCATCCACCCATATGCCAGGAATGTAGTCACCGCGCGAATAATATTCTGTGCTCGCGGAGGAACGGTCTACACTAGTACCCATGCCTAGAAGAAAAATTGTTTCTTAGTTTTTTTTGTATATAACTGTAATGGCAAAACCTGACAGAATAATAAATGGTAACCGTCGCATATACATATATATGAACTGCACTACGGGCACTTTAACATTAAATAATATTTATTAAAATAAATTTAATATAAACATTTTTGAATTAACATTTTTTAAATTCTACCGCCATATTCCAAATGCAAAGGGAAGAAAAAACAATGCAGTGTTCTTGTCACTACAACGTTGTACAAGTTAATATGTTTTTTGTGTTAATAACCTACCCAGGTGTCACGTAATCATATGAGTTAAAATAATGATCCCGATGACAATATAAATAATGTGTATTAAACAAGAAAGTTAAACTTTGACTCTGTTTGTTATAGTATCTACTGACTATGGCGCTAGGAAAGCTATTTTCATTAATAAAAATACTCCCTCCACCCCAAGCCACTCCTACTAAATACTCACCGTATCCATTATTCTCGCAGACGAAGACACAAGGTAAATTCCACAGTTTAGCCATATTGTATGCCTCATACAATTGTCCCTGGTTCGCGGCGCCGTCGCCGTACAAAGCAAAGTTGACGCCACCGTCCCCATTGTATTTGTGAGCGAACGCGACACCTGCACCTAATGGTACCTGATAATACAAATTCTGTTATTACAACTCATTTTATTTGTTTCTCCTGCGCTTCCGAGAGGAGTTTGACTAGCTACTAGCTACTTTTCTAGTCTCAAATAGGAGGCTAAAGATGGAAAATAGATTCCAACATAAAATACAATACAACACTGTAAAGACTGCCGCAATATTGCGAATTCAAAATGTGAATAAAATATTTTGTCATTTATATTAAGGGCATCATATTAAAAAAAATCAAAATTACCTGAGCGCCAACAATACCGTTGCCACCGTAAAAATTCCTTCCATACAGATGCATAGATCCACCTTTACCTCGTGAGCAGCCCGACTTGCGACCAGTTAATTCCGCTAGAACTCCTACTGTGCTAACACCCATCAGGTATGTCCATCCGTGACAACGGTAAGCTGTGATTACTGAGTCAGCATCTCGCATAGCTGTACGCATGCCCACAGCAACTGCTTCTTGACCTAGAAAGATGATAAAAAAATGGTGGCAATTCTCTTACTTCCTCCTTATGACCAAATAAGCATGAACCATTCTGACTATTACTTCTAATCTGTTACATTGCTCATTTGCAATAAAAATGCCAGAATCCTTAAGTATGCATATTAGTTTTCAAATCCAACTGGTATGTGATGATGCGGCTCGAATGCTCAGATGGTAGATGATATTGCGGCTTGAATGATAGACGGTAGGTTTGATGGCTTCAGCAGATTACAGGGTTGTTGAAAATGATAGAATTTACGTACTATCTTAAATTTAATGGTCAATATACTATTAATTACAAATTTGGTGGAGTGAGCAAAAGTACGTTAGATCGATCGGTTGATATTTTGAGTCTGTACGTTACGTTGCGTATTTAAAATTGGATGGGTGTGCGGTCCAATCAGAACGCTCCCTTTGTATTGCGTTTTGTTACTGCTTGGTACGCGACACCAACTAATAGTTCTAAATATCATTATATATTAGTACAGATAACTGTTAGACTATATATGGAAGTCATAACAGTTTAAAAAAGTCAAAATATATAAGAATGATTATATATTTTGACTGATATTATATATATTATGAATCTTGTATATTGGGAATATCAATAAGATGCACAACTAACTGTCAAATCTGTGAATATCGTCTAGTAAAGCTGTAATGGCCAGATGCGACCAACAGTGTTAGAGTAGTAAAAAAAACTAACTGTAGGTACATACTCTCATAGTATTCAATATTATGAATGTAAAAATAAGTCACACAATTCACTTTATCTTAATCTTATCTTAGGAGTATATAACAGTAATTTATTCAAATGAAAAATGTCATAGTAATGGTACAGAACTGTTCTGTTCCATATTATCAAGTACATATACACATAATGTCATGTTAAATCAAGTAATGTGTCAACATGTATATACACATGTATACTACTGGAATGAGATGGATATATGCTACTTTTTATCCACAATAATGGTCAATATATGGCAGTATAGAAAACCCAATTTACTGTTTGTTAATATATAATTGTAGAAATAAAATAAGCAGTGCTATACCTAAATTACTTATCTCAAACCAAACTACTAATATATATTATCAAACTACAACTATTCATGTATATTAATAATAAGGAAAAGTATTTTTTATGTGTATATATATATATACATATATACAGTCCTGAATTTAGTACAAATGTATTTTTAAATCTTACCAAACCTTTTTGAATAAAATGTCAAGCAAATGTCAATAAAAAAAAAATATTTTATCTTATAAGTTTTTACATTAAAAACAAATAGTTCTTAACAATTCTGTGGTGATGTCACAGGCAGTAGGCAATATAAAACTATTTAATATAAATATATATATATAAGGGCTAACTGCTATCTTTAATGGGGCAGTCAGCTGTGTTTTTATTTTTTTTTTATACTAGACAATCGGGCTTCACCCTGACATCAAAAACAATATTGTTCATGAATATAACACTTAATACGCCCTAATTTTGCTGGGTATATTAGAAAATATATATTATAATTAAATGACCTCAATTACCTGAATATAAATGACAGAAGCCACGGATTATTTTTTCCTTGTACAGATTTCCTGCTGCAGTTTCAATTCTTCGTAGCACTGCTAGCTTTTCATATATCTTGATTGCATCTTCTGCAGTTAGAGTTGCTGATGTTGCAGGACCCTTTTCCAATTTATGAAGTTTATATGGCTAAAATTATATTAAGTATTTGAAGATTTTTAACATACTGATTAAAAACTAATTATAATGTACCATCAATTAAAATTTATAATCATTTTTACATAATAACTAGTATAAATACATATAGATAATAAAGTGTACTCATAACTGAATAAAAAATCTATGTTTGTATTTTTAAAAATGTTTGTTTTTTTAATTATTATATATTTTTCATATAATTGTAACTTCATACAATAGTAAGTACCTATGTTAACAATATACGAATGTAATTACTTGCAAGTTACAATAGTGATATCAATTATTATAAAAATTAGGAATATTCATTATTTAATGTAAATTGAAATAAAATTTAAGTGGTGATAATTTTATTATACAGTGAAAAGTTTGTTGCCATTACATATTTTTAAGTTTTAATATTTATAGACCAATTAATTTAGAATATTTAAGTAATTTATACCATGTATACAAATTAAACAACTATCCAAATAATTAAAACACAGACTAATTAAAAGATTTCAAATTTTTATATTGTATTTTAGACTATAATTTAAAAATGGAATAATGTCTTTGGCTAAGTAGTAAAGGAAGGTCAATTAGAATTTAAAATAAAAATAAATATATTTTATAATTGTTGGGTAAGATTCTACATCTTTAGGATGTTATAAATAATTTGTATTCCCTTAACAATCAACCAGAATTATATGCTAAACACGTGCTAAGATACTGAGATTATCAACACAGGTTGACACTTGAAGGTTAAAGGAAAGTTACATAATTAAATCAAATTTAATTATTAATGAACAATACGAATCTTATGATAATATCAATAAAAATTTATTTTAGTTAAAGGATTTTGATGGGTTACTTACCTTAATTTCAAATGTTGCTTCATTTTTAGTACTATATTTTGCTGTTATGGGAACAATCGAAACAGCTGATTTCTGTAATAAGGATTTTTAAAATATGTGTGTTATTCTAAATTATCTATTCTAACACATTAGACAATTAAATTTATAGTTAGCGAATCCTATAAAATAAATTTACATACCGGGATAGTGTTTGTAGCCAAAAGTTTAGCGGCAGATGGGATAATTTTACTCATTATGCCCATTAACTTTTCTGTTAAGCCCAGGATTATTTAATGACACAAACTGAGTGACAATTGTTATTTATCCTGGCCGGGAGATCACAAAATTTTCAATTCAAATTAAATCGTTGAATATTTCGTATTATTCGGAGTAAGTTGAAAAAGTGTATGACCTTTTGACTTTTTGTTTGACTGCTAGAGTATGTGTTGACATGTTTCTTTTTTTGAGTATATTTATACTTTATGAAAAGACAAAGGGAACTATACAGCCATTTGTCGTCAGTTTGGACATCATTCATGTAGTCAAAATTCAGGGAGTCTGACAGATGTTTGCTGTCAATGTCACATGTATCGTTTGTCATCATTTATTTATTCGTTTGAATTCTGTCATTTCATTAATCATTTAGATTCGAGTGTTCGAGAATTAAAAGTGAATTACGAATTATGATTGTGAATTTCATGACGTGAATGACTCATTACTATTCATGTGATAGAAATATATAAAGTGTAGACATTTACAAACTACGTTATTGTTTTGGTGACCTCAAACTTGTTTGAACCTTACATCGTTTCATCTTTGTTTAAAATGGAATTTCCTCATATTGGCAAGAATTGTTCGTACCAATCATGCAATAAATTAGGTGAGTGTTTTGTAAATAAACCCTTTTGTTTCCTAGTTCTTTTACTGAAAGTTTACCAGCAATCTGTGGTGGTAAATTTTTACTTTTAAATAGTTTTTTAACGCTTTTCGTCATAATGATGATGTTTTCTTACTGTATGAAGAAGTAATGATTATGCAGAACGAACGACCCACTGACCGAGAAATATTTCATCATCACCATATGCAAATGACACTGGTTAGCCCAAATTTAATGTTGAATCCTTTCTATAGCTCACTGTAAACTAAATTTTAATATTCTAGACCCACAATGCCCCTATGTTGTAATGATATAATATGTATATTTTCCAGACTTCCTACCTATGAAATGTGGTGCTTGTCGTGAAGTATTCTGGTAGGTACACCACAATCATTATTTATATATAAGAATGGATATAAATTCAGTATCCAGACACTAAACAATATTTAAAATAAGTAACAAAATTATTTACACCTAATATCCAAATTAGCATAGTCATCAACTGAGTATTAGTAATAAATTTTCTTTGAAATATAATAAATATATAAATATTATAATTATTTAATTTTATTCAAATGATTGCACAACATTTGAATATAATTAAATAATCTTACAATTATACAAATATTATAATTAAACTAGTTTGTATCAACTACATCAGTCTTGTTCTTATTGTTGTTTGTAGTATATTCAACATGATATAATTGTGTAATTATAACCCTTCGCAAGTCCCTAGCTAAGAAGAGCTTGAGTTGTGTACTAGATAACTGTACTTTTATATATGTATTTTTAATATAAATAGAAAACACCCAGACCATTATACATAATCATACTTATGAATAAAAATGTTTGCATTGTGTGAGGAATAGAATCCACAATTATCAGAATATGGTGATATCCTAAACCACTTGAACATAGAGCCTATCAATATTTACAGTATTAGCGGTGCCTGTAAACCTTATAACTTTGTTTGGAAACTGATTTTAATAAAACTGAACCGAAATTTAAATTTAGAACCACAGTACATTAGTGATAACCACAACGAAATTGACTGTGCTGTGTTATAGATAAACAAGCAAAAATCCACTTGAAAACCAGACAAAAAAATAATCATTAATTTACACAATTAATGATTATTTTTTTTGGTTTCTATTAGAGTTACAAAGTCCACCAATATTTTTTTTTATAAATCATTCATGGTTCAGTTATTGGTTACATTTTTATTGCCTATAAATATACTATACAATAGATGTTCTGTTATATAGTTATTGTTTATCAATTTAGATTTACCATTTTTAATTGCAATATCAATTGCATGTGTTAAAAATCTTTGTTTTAAGTCAACTAATATTTCAAACAGTAATGAAATATTTACAATAAAAAAAATAGATGCACCTCAAAAACATAATCTAAAAGTTATGAAAATTCATAAATCTATAATAAGACTCCTTTTATTTTTCAGCTCTGACCATTTTGCATATGCAAAACATGAGTGTCCTGAACCAAATACTCGAGATATTCAGGTGCCTGTATGCCCATTATGTAGTGCACCAGTGCCAGGCCGGCGTGGCGAACCACCTGATGTGGCTGTAGGAGCACACATAGACAACCAGTGCACATCAGATCCAGCCAGAGAAAGAAGGAATAAGGTATTATAATACAATTTTGTGGCATTTTCCTTGCATACTATACAAAGTGCTACTATCTATTAGTGATGTTAGGGAGCTCCATAACCATAAACAAAACTATCGGATATCCGATGTGAAGAAATATCCGTATCTGAATCCAATATGAATGTGTTGGATATTATTGGATAGAGGCGGAGCTTAATTGAGAGATGTTATGTAACCATTTGTATTTTATTTTTGAAATTCCTTAAAAAAATTATATCCGTAATCGAAACTAATGGATAATCCGAAATAATTTCATATCCCCATCCATATCCGGTATAATAATCATTCCTATATCCGAAACCTATCCCTATCTGAAATTTCATATCTATAACATCCCTGCTATTTATACATCTTTATCTTATTTATTGGTAGTTATATGTGGTGGCACTAACCTCATTTTTATTTATATCAGTATATATATCCTGCAAATGGCCTTTAACAGATATGTTGTGGAACCTCATTTTGCATAAAAAGTATTTTGTTAGAATAAAATATGTTTTATCCTTTGTATTTAAATTATATATGGTCCACAGATGGCTTATATATTCTCAGATTATTTTTACTAGTTTCAAATTCCTCAAATTAATGTTTGATTGTCCCATTAATTACCGATATTATTTTTATATACACCTAAACATTTTTTTCATCTATATTTCAGGTTTTCACAAATAAATGTTCATTTAAAGGGTGTAAAACGAAAGAAATGGTACCGCTGGTATGTGGTGAATGCACTCTGAACTTTTGCTTGAGACATCGCCACACAACTGATCATTCCTGTGAGGGTAAACTAGCGGCCAAAAGAAGACAGGCAGCGTAAGTATATATCTCTACATCTATACATATAAATAAAATTAGAGTGTCTGTTTGAAATATTGAAATAATCATTTTTACTACATGCATATGAATATAAATATGGTACATACACCAAAATAACATTTTTTATAATTTTTGTCTGTCTGTCGTCTGTTTGTTCCGGCTAATGTCTGAAATGGCTGGACCAATTTTGACGGGACTTTTATGGGCAGGTAGCTGATGGAACAAGAAGTAACTTGGGCTACTATTATTTTAGAAAAATAAAGTTAAATCCACGTAGACAAAGTCGCGTGTACAGCTAGTTAAAAATAAGATTTATTTTATTGTTTCTTTCATTAATTTTACATGTTACATAGGGGGTACGCGAATAGGACAGCATTTTATAATAAAAGTCTTGACAATTTATACTTAAGCAATCCATAAGTACCACAGGCCTCACCCGACGATGTGATCAGTTCCTTTCATTGTTCATATATATATAGAAAACAAAGAGTCCAATTTATGTTTCGAACCTATTGTTTTTAAGTAAATAACTAGACTGGCAACAAGTTGCCAGACCACTTAGTTTATTACTATAAAAAAATAGACACGATATATAAATTGCACTCTGTTTTCTGTATTGAGCCTCACATTCGGATGTTTGTGTCTTCACATGCTTTACAAGGAAAATCTAGACAATAACTTGATTAACAGCATATATTTAGCTAATCTCAGCATTGATTTCATATTTTTTCCTCTACATTATCTGAACTAGCTCATAAAGTAGTACATACTTAGTATATTGTATTTATTTCAGTAATGCAGCTATAGCACGTCGAAAAGCAACCGAAAACAAGATTTCAAATTCGCAAATCGCCACAAATGTTGCGTCATTCAATGACGTACAAGGGAATATGGTAACTATCATTTCACGTTTTATTACCTCACTCAATACTATACACTTTTATTAACGATTAAAGAAACTTGCTAAAACATGCGCCTTGTCAATCTTAAACAAGGTGTGTGACATTCTTGCTCACTAAATACCACTTGGTATATCTCAATCGCATTATGTTCCCCTTTTATATATTTTTTTCATAAGAGTAGTTTTTTGTTATTAGTTTGCACAATATTATATTCATCATATATATCATTTCAGACTGAAGACGAAGCACTAGCGCATGCGCTTGCATTGTCATTGCAGGAACAAAACGCAAACCATGCAGAAGATAATAACTTTGCACGAGCTCTAGCCAGACAACGCGTTGGGGGTGAACAAAATTCAAGATGTTCGATATCTTAGCAACATTACAGTATCACACTAATTAAACTTAGTAAAATAGCAAATTATTCAGCTGCAGCTGTGAATAATGCTCATGTAATTTCAAACTCTCATATCTACGGATTCAAAGTTGACAGATAGACCAAAAAACAAATATAGAGAGTGGTATATCAAGATAAATGTAACATCGATTACTATTGGGTACAATTTATATATAAGTGAGAAGTATGCTAGGGATTTCCTAATGAATTAGAGAATTTAGTTGGTCTAGCAGAAATAAGAATTTCGCTTTACCTTACCACTGGAAAAGTGGAAAAATTGATAGTTATATCTTATTGTACAATTTGAGCGATAATTTAACATATACGGACTTTGAACTGAAAATAGAAAAGATCCTATCTTTCTCTTTTTCAGTTCTAAATTCATTCAATATTTCTTACAATATAAAATTTTATATATGTACATGAATACCAACATTACTATGATGCCTAGCTCTTCTCTATATATTTGTAAGCCTAAATTGATGATAGATGTCGCTAGTAACTGTATCTAAATTTGAAATATAGAATAAATATTACTATTAAAATAATAACAGGACTGATAATTATGTTAATCATCATTATAAAATTTAATATTTGACGTAATCTCCGAATAAATTAAATGTCTAACAAGTGATAACTTAACCATAATCATATCGATCAGTTCAGGTCGCGAAGAAAACAAAACAGCATGATAATTGGTCCAATCTAGGGTCTCGGGGGTTCCGAATCTCGCCCAATCTCACGGGGGAGAGAAGGGTCTCAGCAAATATTACGTAATTTCTTTCCGCAAAAAATAATATTAACTATTGCAAGTAAACTGGGTTAAATTAAGTAAAGCATGTTTATCCACTTAAATATGACTGATTAGTATTCAATACATGTTTTTTTATTTGAACGCAAGTATAATAATAACACAATCATCTCTCACTAGTTTAGCCACCACTGACCATATAACGTGAAAAATTACACTTGAGATTAAGGAAGCCGAGGTTAAAGGGGTCGAAAATTTGTCAAAGTCCCCTCAAACTGCAAAAGAATTAAATACATATGTTAAAGAATCAACATATCCTCATGAATGATTGTTTATTGCAATGTGTGATGATTGTTCTGTAATAGGTTAGTGTTTTTCAATATTTGCCTAATGAAGTAATTTTTGCGTGTTATGAGTATAAAAAATAGCAACGTCAGCACCTAGATAGTTACTGTAATACATTAAAAAAATCACTGACGTGGGTACACAACCTCTGTTACTTGTTGCTGGAAAAGTTTGAAAAACACTAATATACCGTTGTTGAGTAAATAGTATAGACAACGACAAATAATTTGAGCATTGTTTTTACGACATGAATTGCGTTGCGTAATAACAATTTTACCTAAAATAACAATGTGCGCTTCGTTTTGTTCAAGTTATTTGCAGTCAAGTCAACTGTATGAGATATGTAAGAATTTTAGAATATTTTACTTGTCACTATTAGCATTGGCCACTAAACAGTATTTTAAAGGCAATTGCTGTTACTTTATTTGTATTTTAACTATGACAATTTGAATATTATTAATAATGAAACTCGCATACATAACGAGTTTTAATGTTATATGAGACTACACCTAGCTTCGTGCTGTGTTCACCAATAAGTTAAGATTTACCTTTGAAATATAATATTTTTGAGATAATTATAATTGTTGAAATATTGCCGTTGTAGTTTTATTTCACTAGTAAGTCGTAATTATTTATATTAGTAAGCCACATGAATCATACTTTCCCCATACTATACCTAATTATGTAATGATAGATTTTCCTGAAATTATATTGGAAGCATACAAATCTTTTTGGTTGACAGGGTCATAGAAGCATTGTTTAAAGTTATTCAATGAATGTAAGGAACATTTGGAACCTTTTTCTTACACTATTATCATTTTATAAGAGTGTTTGTCAGTTCTCAGCTCAAACTATAACTGACGGTAGATTTAAATAAGTGTCTGTAATGAATCTAAATTTTCGCAACATCTAGTTCAATGTATGCGATTTGACGAAAACAAATACGACAACCTATCTATATTATAATGAAATAGTTAATCTTAGTATTGCAATAAAACAGTTAATATTTTTATTATTTTATTAACAATAATGTATAATAACAGGCACATATATAAAATATCACAGCAATGTGGATACAAATCGGTCATAAAATAATTTACTAAATCAGAATAACATAATATCACAGTACATATGGATTAAGTAGCGCATTCGGAACATTTTAAACAATGTACATAATAATATATTTTCAACAATCTAGGTACGAAGTTCATCACAAGATTTAGATAGTATTTTTTACTTTCAATAACAAAATTATTGGCAAATATTTGCTATTACTTACCAAATGTATGGTGTTCCAAATAGGCATCAGTCGATAAATTGAATTATACGTGTATATTGGTCCGTGCAAATAAACTTATACATACTTATTTCTGTTAAATCAACAGATGATCTACATATATAAAAGTTCGATTTTATTCTAATTTGTTCCGCTATTTAAGCGGGATTGAATAATGTCATAGCATTAAACATTGTTATAGACAAAAAGGTAATTTGTAGTTTAATGTTCATATTAGCATGACTACTATTTGAGATGTTAGCTATATAAAATAGATGCTAAATACATTCCATTACTACAACAGTATTATGTTTCATTAATGCGATAAGAGCGGTACAATCATAAAATCTAATTCCATACAAACTATATTGAACTTATAACCAAATATTAAAAAGTCACGTATACAGAGTGTAATAGAATGAAGGTATTTTTGTTTTATGTGTTAATATAACCTTTATATCAAACAAACGCCAAATTATAAAAATCATGTTATTGGTTTCATATTGAAAAATTGTATTTAAGTTTGCAAGTATTCATTGATGAAGTTCTTAGTTATGATACACCGTATATATAAATAAGGTAGTCAGACGAGATTTGTTCACGCGTGGGCGTGAGTTTGGACTACCACTAAACAATATACATATATGAATCATTGGTTATTCTCACATCAACTACAGGGTATCCTCATTGCTAATATATATGGTATTGGGACGTTCTTTGGCAAAATAGGTAACTAAATAAAATAGTATAATCTTCTACAGTTGTATATAAAGGTAGAAGCTTATGGCATTTGGCTCTGCGTATTCCGTAAAGGACCGCGTAAAGATATATAAAATCTTTTAATTCTGCGATAGAAATTGAGCACTGGTACTTACATAATCTTATATTAATATATTTACTTTTTCATACGACCTTTAAAGGTTACCATAGGTACATTTTACCTTCCACAACCAAAATTATCTTCTAATATAACTTAATAATTCCAAAAAGATCTATAAAGACACAACTCGAACTGTGGTTGATTACACAATACCTACATGTTGGACTAAACGTGAATATTTTCACGACTGTAATCTCAGGTGGAGTATTCACAAAAGTATTCATTTACACATATGAATCTATTTTGAAATTGATAAATGCAAGATGCATATGATATGCAAAGGAAATTGATGTACTGTTTAGTTATGATTGTCTTGGTTTTTATTTATGACTCTCATCTGATTAAGTGCTACTGTAATTCAGCAAGTCTACTCTGGAATGTGACCTCAATATAGATTTCCATCCATCCAAGAAATCCAGTTCTATACTGTTCTTTGAAACACAATGGAGACTTAACCAATTACAACATCAGTCAATTATTTAATTGAGCACGAAATTCCACTAAAACGTTAGTGTATAATTCAAGAGCATAAAAAATTGTGAATCGGCACAATCTAATGTCGTATTGAATTAGTTTCCAGAGATTTTATTGTCTAGAATAAATAGGCATTTTCGCACATGCTTTGGATTTCCTTAAGACTGACCTCATATCATTAGGCATTACAAATTACTTAATAACGCTTTGTTATGCAACGTTCTGTACTTATGATTATCATTCAGATAACTAGTTATAAATTCCGGTGGGTTCCGCATAAGGAATAACTCCATGCTCATATACTTTGCAGCTGTAAGTCGTTTCCTCTCGGCATTTGAACGACAGAGGTTCCTGTGTGCGTGGTTTGCAAAATGAGTTGCCTTTCTCTCCACCAATTTAGCTGTGACGCATATATTTGGGTCGTCTTCTAAGGTAGCCTGGAAAGGAAATTTTTATTACAACTCATACCAATAGAGTTACATATTCAAGTTACCACCAGTTTAATCTATGTCTTTTAACTGTTGTTTGCAACCTTTAGTTGGCCAATTAATCCAGCCCCGGGCGATCGCAAGACAAATATTTGTTGGTCCTACACTACAATAAAGAAATTACAAATACATGCCATAGGTCGTAATAGTCTTAGCGAAACTCTTTTGGAGAAAGCATAAACTTTAAAGGATGATAACTACGTGATCTACATTAATATTATAAAGAGAGCGCAGATTTTGTAAAAAGGAAAGTCAAATTAAAGTAGTGAAATCGTTCTTAAACTATATTTTTAACAATTTGAAAATTGGGTGCTACTAAGAAGCATGTATTGATTTGTATTCTAATAAAATAAACAAATGTTTGCAAGAATTACAAAAAAATATCAATGTTATTCATGAATAACAAAAAAAATCCAATTCCATTTATTGCAAAGCTGCATAAATACGAATTTTCTTCCTTTTCCTTTTAACCTTCAATTTTACGTTTGAAAAGAATTGTAGAATTAATGTTGACCTTGTTTTACGGTTGTGACTAAACAGACAATTATAACAGAATACTGAACTTTGAATATAAATTATTCGGTACAGACTCTAATTAGCAATTGAACAATTGTATTAACTCATATTGACACATTTAAAATTAAAATACTAATACTACACGTTGGCCTCTATAGAAAATAGTACCCAGCCATGACCACGTTATGGTAAACTCTATTTGCTATAGCGGGCGTTGTTAAGTCATTAAAAAAATTAAATTAATTGAATGTCGTTATCCAACACTTTTGCTGCCTATATGCTAAAGTTTATGATAATTTGTTAAGCCGTTGATTGTTAGTTACGTTAATGTTAAACAAACTCACTCTCGCGTTTATAATATTAGTTGAAACACCGTTAATATTCATTACTAACTGTTACCCGCAACTTAGTCCGCGTGGATTTTTTAATTAAAAAAAATTAAAAAATAATTAGCCTAAGTTACTCCTTAAACATTAGCTACCTGCGGCTGAAAGTCCCGACAAAATCGTAAAAGCCGTTTCAGAGATTAGCAAGAACAAACATACAGACAAAAAAAACTTTTTTTATGTAAGTAACATATATGTATTTAGTGAAAGGCTGTTAATTTGAAATCAATAAATATTTATTTACTAACCGAGAATCGAATCCACTGCCAGATTTGACTTCTAGAAATCTCTGCCGTAGCCGAATCCTCAACATTGCCGCTGTAGAAGAAATGCCCAACCCCTGCCAACCAGTGATATATGAAAAGTATGGAGACGGCTACGTTGTGCCGCAACCCTTGCAGTGTTACACCTCCGCTTGGTATTGTGAGTAGATCTTTGGCGGTGATATTGAAATTAAACTTGCGATGAATTTGATTCGACATCGCACCATTTTTCTTCCAAAGCTGTGTAAAATAGAGTTTTTAAACTATTATAGAGTTAAAAAAAATAACAACACTTTAAAACTAACAAAAATCTTAAATTTAATGATATATCTTAAACAAAAACAATCATAATAAAGTTCCTATTTGAGGATTTTATATCCTCAACACTCACTCACTCACTTTTATATCCTCACTCTAACACATCACACCAAAAATCAATAATGAAGTATAAAAATCTCGAAAAGAATATACTTGCCAGACTGTTATCCCCAATGAGGCAGAATTGAATAATTCAGATTTTATTGAAAACAGACAAAAAGATTCTATCATAAGATTTGCTACACAACATCTCAAAAACTAATGTCTATAAATAAGATGTAATAAGAAATTGTCGTTACATACCTCATTAACGTACGGCACCACGCGTGAATCGTATACCATGAAACCATCGACACCTGTTTCAATTTCTTTTAGTTTCGCTTCAAGGATCCTATTAATAATCGCTTTAGATCTGAAATACCATAACAACTTAATTTTTACCGACGACCTCGGTGATTTAGCTGTTTAGTACACTTAACTATATGATGCTTCACAATTTTTGATTGATTTTATAGTGCTAATTGCACTATAAAATCAAGTATGTATTTTCAAAAATATATATAGGTAACTCTAACTAATCTGGCCATAAATACTGTTACATAAAAACTTGTTTTTTTTTTTCAATTATTTTGAATTTGTAACATGCATATTATCTTAAAAACTTCCTTCTTTTTTGCGCCATTTCACATATTTTTTATTCATTATCAAATTACAATATGGAATGGGGTGTTAAAGAAAATAGGATTGCAGGGATCGTCTTGCACAAACTGGGTATGGAGCCGTCGATTATATTCTAGACACTTCAAAACTTGGTATCAGCCGTACGTTCATATATCGTATTATCAATAGCTACAACAACACTTCGTCTATCGAAGACCAGAAAAGATTGGGGCGGCCGCGTACTGTTAGAACTACAAAGGTTGTTAATGCTGTTAAAGCCAGAATTCGTCGAAATCACAGTAGGAAGCTAAACATCTTATTGTGAGAAATGAAGATTCCTGCTAGAACTCTGTCGATCGCGTGTTATAAAACAAGACCTGAAGCTCGATGCTTATCATCGATATACAGGACATGCCCTAAATCAATCTTTACAATTAAAGAGAGTGGATCGATCAAAACGCTTTCTGTCGCGATACGCAGGCGAAAGGCACAGAAATATCCTCTTTACCGATGAAAATATTTTCACGATTGAAAAACACTACAATAAGTAACATTATAAAATGTTCGCTCACAGTTCTAAGGAGCTGCTCAAATTGTCGTAGAGGTACAACGTGGTCATCACCCTGCGTCAGTCAGTGAGCAGTCTTATCAAGGAGTCACAAAATTACATTTGTGTAATTATTTAACATATAATTTATTAAGAAATCATATTTTTTTATATTATTACTCTGTTAATTTCGTTTCCTGTAATATATCTTATGCAAGAAAGAGTATATAAATAAAATAAACAAAATTGACTCACTCTCTGTCCGTGCCATCGTAGCCTGACCGCAACATTGCGGCAGCCATCCCACCGGTGGCAGGAGCTCCCCGAGCGTGGCACGTACTCACAACTAGTTTCATGTAGCTGCTCAGGAAGTGCAGATCTATGTTTACATATTTGTTTCTATCTGGCAGCATGAACTCTTTGCGGTCGCCTGTCGAAAATATATAAATTCATAAAGGCGCATTTTTATACAAACACAATATAAATATGTATAAATAAATAACTGAATTATACAAGACTAACTAAAAAGTATGGCGCTGCCATTAGAACTTGTTAATTTCTTAGTCAAAGGTGCTCATATACTATAGGATTATAATATACAAGTAAATACTGAGACTGTCTAAACTTAATTATATCCATCATTATTTGGGGTCCGGACCCTATCAGCCGTTACATATAAGCTTAATCTCCTTATGTGCGTATCATCTTTCACACAGTGCATTTATCTTTTCTTCAGTCGTCCTCTCCTTAAACTAATGTTATAAAGAGAAATTATGTCTTTTTTATTTGTAATTGATAAACCCAATTTTTTTTAAATATATTTCACATTTCGGAATCAATTATGTAATATGATCTGTATTTTATTATGAAAAATAAAACAACAAAAATTGCAATCGTGCTAGGCTGGCTGGTCAGTAAATGATTTATAAAGAATTTTATGTCTGGAGTCGTACATGATATGTATTTCAGAGTATAGTCTTGTATAAGTAGGCCATTTTATTATCTTGTTGAATAAGTGTATTTTATTTTTAGACAGACGCGCGATCGTTCACAACGCGTGTGTGATAATGAGTTGAACTCTGGACATGGCTATATACTAGACCTTTTGAAATTGTATAGCGCACCAGGTCAGCTACTGACTCACGCAAGTCTAAGGCCGCTGATATACAGTAAGATAATAGGCAAGTTGGAGGGAAAGGGGGTTGTTTGACTGAAGATCCCAGATCCTATTGCTATGCACCATTTCAGTTTGACCTCCATATGGTTCTTCCTGGAAACCTTCCATTCAACACTGCTCCAATTCTGGAGACAGTTGAAGTTCCACCATACACAATCAATTTAAAGTGCTGTTAAATTATGTTATATATTGTAACTATTTTTTTATATAAATAAATTTCTATTAACAAAATGTTTCATAGTACTATGTAGTTCCATATTACTTTCTATATGGCTTATCTAGTGTATATTTCATGCATCTATATAATTTAGCTTTCAGGCATACAAGTGTTGGATTACAATCCAGTTTTGTATTAACGCTCCTAATCAAATTCTTGTACCGATTGTAATCTGTTTTGTGTGCTAATAATATAAATAATAAAAGGCAATGATTACCAAATTTTGCAATAATGGACGCACAATAATCCCAAATACCACAGTTGAGCCCTAAAGAATGCTCTCTGAGTGCATATAATATCTCATCCAATTCAAAAGTTGAATATATATTTTCAATCAAAACACATGCTTTGATTGTTCCTTGTGGTATCCCTAGAGCTTCTTGTGACCATATAAATATGTCATTCCATAATTTCGCTTCTGAAGCACCTTCCAGTTTGGAGAGGTAGAAATATGGACCACTATTTGCTTCATGGAGTTTCTTGGCATTATGATACATTAATATGCCAAAATCAACAAGAGCACCAATAGCTTCTTTGCCATCAATCTGAAAGAAGTCCAGTCATTTAATTAGTTTTATATATAATATAATAATCTGAAATAAATAGGTTTACCAAAAATCAAATACAATAACAAGTTTCTGTCTATTGTACAACAGTGGGAATAGTACGAATATAAAATTTATAATAGTACTAATTTTTAACATATAATATATAGGTACAAAATTTGTTATTTCCAAATATTTTTAATATAAATTGTTTTATCTATACATACCAAGCTATATTTACATTGTTTATTTTCAATAATATTCTAAAATCACATATTTTAGACTATTATTAATGTCATTGTATTTTTTTTCTTTCCATATAAAAAATATAAATTTTAACATAATTAGTAAGAATACTTGAGACAAGTCAGTGAACCCTTAGGATAGCAGAAGAATAATTAAAATAAATAGCTTTGTATTAGCAAAAATATTTGGTGACATACACATACATCAAAATTGTACAATTCAATTAATAAATTCATTCATAACATTATAGTAATTAATTACCAAAATATTATGTTCTAACATATTCCAAGCCCTCGGTCTCAACATCAATACTGGTGATGTGACAATACTGAGTGGAGCACCAAGAAGTCTCCCATTAACTGCCAGACTGATATTCTGGAATGCCACAAGCTGATTTTTCCATGTCGGACAATGCCCATCATCAAAATCCACTTGAATACCCTGAACATCTGAATTGAGTGCTGATACAAAATGAGCTGTGTTTGATGCTGACACATCCCCAAGGTCTAAGTGACGATTTCTAAAACCACATACTTCATATTTAAGTAACAAAAAATAATAAAAGCAAAATACTTAAATACAGAGTCTCTAGCTATAAATAGGTGCATTTATTGTAGGAACATCTAATTATTTAAGAAATAAACAGGCCATGTCACTAAGCTATAATCTAGTTTTCAAAATTATTGATTAAAAAAGTTAATTAATAATTACAAATCTCTTTATAATATTAGTTTGAATAGATTTGTCTAGTGTTAACACTGCACCCAGAAGTACCTTATTATAGTGGTCCAAATTTTATGATCCACTGCAACTGCAACTATTGTGAAAAAAAATCATCAATACTTTCATGCAATTTCTAGCAATAAAGATTTGCTTGTGATACCAATTTCTTTTAGTTTCTTTTCTGAAGGCTGTTTATTATTATAATAATATAAATAAATCATATACTACAAAGAAAATGTAGGTGCATTGATAATAATAATAATATTATTTCTTTACTAGAATAACAACTCAATAGATAATATAGATAATCACATTATTACTCAGTCATATCAAGGTATTTATTTATCTATATATATGTGTGCAGAAATAATCACAGAAAATAATTTATTATGTTACACACATAAGTTTTGATTTTGTTTCTTACATTGGCAAATTTTGCCCAATTTGAATTCTCACACAATAGATTTGTATTCTAGACTACGATTGGTTTTTTTTTATTCTTGGTGCCATCAATGTATACTATGAATGTATTTAGAGAAAAATATTTAAAACAAAATAAATTATGTATGTGTTATTGTGTATATATGTGTATGTAAAAATGTACATCAGTTGTTATTATACTTATTAACTCTGTTTATCTTGGCATTGTTGAGTTAATGAGGGTTATCATTATTTTACATCAAACCATGCAATTATAATTCTCTTACTTAATTTATTAGCATTCCTTAAAGAGTTAACACCAAATATAATAATACTTTTGAAAAGTATTATAAATATAATACTTTTTAGTTTGACATCATGAAATGATATATGTTCTTTAAATGCAACTCATAAATATATTATTATATACTTTTACTTAATATTAAACAGAGAAGTACCAGTACTAGAACGCAAGTACGAGTTTATACTGAAAAAGAATACATTAGTCTAAAAAAAATTTCATATATTTTATTTGCATAGGCATCTGTAATGGTTGACTTGAATAATTAACATTGAGTTTCAATTATGGTTTTCTATTCATGAGTTTCAGTTTATTCAAACATTCGAAACTTACTCCAGTCTGGACGGTAATTCTGCAATTCTCCATAATTTGTCGCTTCTCTCTGGTGATGTCTTAAAGTCTAAATTTGCATTGCTTTTAGCCTCAAGTGATCGCAAGAGCCTCTGTTTATATAGTGTCTCAATTTGTACGTCGAATTCATTATGCAGCTCAGCAATAAATTCCAATGCTTCTTTTCGAAATATATTCTTCTGTACAACTTCCAACTTCGGTGGCGGAGATTGCAGTAGTATAATATTAGACATTTCCTAGTTATCACATAAACAATACGGGTTATATGTTTCGTAGAGATAATACAACTGATACGAATGTCCGTCAGCGAGCCTTTAAATACTGTGAACAAACAAAACGTTTGCGCTTGCTTTGTAATAACTTCTGATAAGTAGTTTTTTGATAATTTCAAAGATGACTTTCAGGGATGTGTGGCAATTAATTTAATTTAATTTTTAATAAACTAATTATACGTAATAGTTTAAGGACACAATTCTAGCTAACTACATAAATATGTATTCATTCATTTTATAAAAGTTGATAAAATTATTGAAAATTCAAAAATGTGTGGAAATATTGTTTTCTTTTATTAGATCATTTTAGTCATTCTACATCATTCTAAACACATTAAAACGTCAGTCTACATGAGTATACAGAATATCGCCCATTCATGCACTTATCAATTCTACCTATGGCTGTATGGGTACAGTCCCCTTTGTTTTTCCTAAACGATAAATAAATAGAAAAAAAATCAATGATTCATTCCATACTATTCCTCCTTAGTGATGTACCACAGAGAAAAAATCTATCGAAATTACTCGAGTTACAAAATTTGAGTTAGCAGGCAGAATCTGAGTTAAATTGTTACAAAAACCTTTTGGCATATTTGTTCATTAATACAACTCTTTGTTAGGACAATTATCATATCCAAAATTCCTAGGTGGTATTGAAATAAAAATGTTTTTTATAGTTTACATATTTAAATTAGCGAAGTAATGAGAAAGTCACAGTTATTACTTATTGATTTTTGGATTTAACAAAACTAGTTAAGTATATAAATCACACAATCATATCAATACTTTATAATATGCTATTAATTTTTATAACAATAAGTCTTAATCAACTTTTACTCTATTATAATAATACAACATTATTTAATTTCATAATCAACATTGAAACTACATCTAGAAAATACGTTTTACCACAGTTACATACTTTACATAATATTACATACTTTTTACTAAGAAACATTTGGTATAAAGTATTTTCTGAAAAAAGAAACTAAAATATTTTCTTGCAACTTAACATTCTTAAAAGTATTTTTAACAACATATATTCTATATACCAAACCAATCGTTTTTTCGTTCGTTTGATTCGTTTATTTGTCGCCAGCCTCAATCATAATTAGAAAGGATACAACTCAAGTTAACTCGAATTTAGCACAACTCGAATTGACATCACTATCTCGTTGTTAAGACCAAAGTTAAGACTTTTCTATTTCTCGCTCTGTAAAGCTGTATATTTTATTGTGTTGCGAACAGATTTTTTATTATTGTACTGTATCCTCTGGTATATATAGTATACTCTTTGGCTTTTGATTGAGAATATATTATGTTATCTCGCGTAAATAATTACTGTGGGTAAAGCAATGGTAAACCTTTGTCTATAGTAGAAGTAAGACTGCCAGTAAGCACTGTCATCAGTAATATGGCCGAAACAGATATACAAAATGATACTGTAGAAGTAAAATTTAAACCTAAAAGGCCCAAGAGTTTGCGGCAACGTATAAAAGACGACGAATCTGATGACGAAGAACACATCTTGGCGAAGTTGGAAGAAGCTAAAGAGATTCAGAAACTACGGGAAAGGCCTAATGGCGTGAGTGTGGTTGCTTTAGCTACAGGTAAAAAAGCTGCAGTTGAGGAGGATATGACCTTCAAGGATCCATTTAAAGTGAAGGCTGGTGGTATGGTTAATATGCAGGCTTTGAAAAGTGGTAAAGTCAAACAGGTCGATGACGCCTATGATACTGGTATTGGTACGCAATTCTCGGCTGAAACGAACAAGAGGGATGAAGATGAAGAAATGATGAAGTACATTGAGGAGCAGCTGGTTAAACGAAAAGGTAACATTTACCATCTTTACCATAATTTGTGCATCATTTATGTGATTGTTTGGGTAGTTAGGTTAGGTTGGACTTATTCTATACTCTATTGTTCAATAAGTGATTATTCAATTCAAGTCTTTAATAGAAACAAAATTATTATATAATTTTTAATAAATAATAATATACATAATAGAAATAGCTATAATTAAAAAAAAACCTAAAAATTACTCAGGTCCAAAAATTATTAGTTTTATTGAGGATTTTTCAGTGCTAAGATCTGTAGTGCTGTAACCTGCATAGATCTATTGTGCTTGTCCTTTTTCAGAGACTAGAATTAGAAGGTATCCGTAGGAGCCATGGTTTTTATCTGTTCAGATATAGAGGATAGATACACATGTTAACAAAATTAGACCCACCTCTTTAATTAGAAACTAGAAGGACTTTATAGTTCTATAAAGTCTGTTATATACAGAATTGATATTGAATTTTGATTGAGATAATTTAATTGCTCTATTAGATATTAGCTCTATCTCTATGTCATATGTTTTCGATGTGTCTGTATTTGTATATGTATGTATGTAACCTAAAATTGCAAAATCATCAGGTTATAATAAACTTTTAGGATGTCTGATTTCTATCTGGTATTAGCCACAGTAAAACCCCCATGTATGCAAACAGAGTAGAAAAATATTAATAACTTTTTTTATATTTTCTACTATATAACTGGAATAGCAAACAAAGAAAGGTGGTGGTGGAAAGTAGCGACAGTCCACTATATGCTTGAACAGCACCACAGACTTCACATCTTCATCTGATGTGTGGTAGTACCATTCAATGTTACCATAAAGTGTTGCAATTCAGAAGGACTGAAGTAACTAATTTCACTGCTATATCTACTACTACACTAACTACATTACCTACACTATTAAAATCACAGAACTATGAATTAATTTCTTTACCTATAACAACATTCTGACTTTTTTGTATATATAAGTTTAATAGACATACATTATATGAATGTTAATAAGTAATATATTATTATAGTATGGGGCTGTTCAAGTATTACGTAAGCAGATTTATCACAATTATTTACCCCTCATCCCCCGTTGTCAGCAAAAGTAAGCAAAGCTCTTACCCCTCCCCCCAGGCACGTAAACATTTTTCAATTAATGTATTGTTTTTTTACCAAAGACAATGTGAGGGTTGCCATTCGTGTAAAAAAGTAAATTACGACCGATGACGTAATCATCATACAGACTCCCCCACCCCCATGTCATCCAAAATAAGCAAAGAAAAGACCTCCCGCCCCCTATAGTGCTTACGTAATACTTGAACGGCCCCTATGTGATATGTATTGATTGTTTTTTATTTTCTAGAGGGACACAATAAAACCCAGAAGGACTTAGATCAAAATGAATCTTTAAAGTATTTGTCACCTGAAGAAGCAGCATTGCTATCTTTGCCAGAACATTTAAGAGTTACTTCAACACACAGATCGGAGGAAATGTTGTCAAACCAAATGTTAAGTGGCATTCCTGAAGTAGATTTAGGTATTGATGCTAAAATAAAAAATATAGAAGCTACAGAAGAAGCTAAAATGAAATTATTATGGGAGAGACATAACAAAAAGGATGGGCCATCGCAGTTTGTTCCTACAAACATGGCTGTTAACTTTGTACAACACAATAGATTTAATATAGATAATGATAGTTCTAAGAAAAGGAAGAAAGAAAAACCAGAAGTTATAAAGACTGAAACAAATGTAATAGATGATAATGTAGATAAAATAGTGAAAAAGGCTAAAGGGGAGAGAGCTACTGATGATTACCATTATGAAAGATTTAAAAAGCAATTTAGAAGATATTAAATAAAGATATTAAATTAACGACGATTTTATTGAAATAACTAAACAACATTTAATAGTTTTTCTATTACTTTCACTCTCTTATATAAAATTAAATTACAAACTTAAATAAAACAGCGTAATTTGGATACAAAATTTAATTGCTTTAGAATCAAGTTTGCTTATCTATCTAACTAATTGACTAATCAACACTTATAATTTTTCAATAAAATGAAACATTAAGTAACTGAAAGAAAAATTGTGATCACATTTATAACCACCGATGTTGACTGTCCATCTGTACATTTTTCATGCCCAATCTTCACATTTGTAGCACATAATACAATCTTCTTCAGAGGGATGGATATATATCCAATTATCCTATTGCATATTTCATAAGTATGTATAATTTTCCTTCTTACTTTTTTCACCAGTCTTCTGACACTTTCAGTTTTTGAAAATTTTCAATACTCTTTAATCTCATTGGTTGTATATTTTCTATCATTAAGTTTTAATCTGTTCTTTCAGTATTAATTTTTGCTCACTTTCTATTTTCCATTTTGGTGCAGTACTTTTCGGGGTTGCTTGTTAGAATGATCGATTTTCTCTTTCTAATATTGCATATAGATATTTTGGGAGGTATAGGCAATGCAACATTGATTTTGGATAGTGAAACTAACGTATTTTCTCTTGATTGTACAATCTGTGTATCAACAATGGCTTTGATATCAAAAGGTTCAGCGTCATCATTGACGGCTTGTTGATTGTTCCTTTGAATGTCGGTTTCTTAATTATTTGGAGGCCCAGTATCTATATGACTTTGTGCGGGCAATATTATTGTTTGTAGATTATTATTAAGGGAAACGTATGACTTAATTGAATCAAATTCATTAGGGTGCAAGGCATATGTACCTGCAGACCTAAAACCACTTGCTGCTTTTTCTAGGTTACTGCGCCGTTTAAAAGTATTTGTGTCAATTCAACGATTTCGCACTGTGTAATCGGCTTCCCAAAACGATCTGACAAGTAATTATCACATTCTTGATTATATATTTTGTTAGAGTATTTTAGAGGATCAAAAAAGCCAAAACCAGTGGCTGAAGTTTATGTGAAGTTTGTTTGTCGAGTATAATGCATTAAGAGTGACATGACTCCCGAGTAGGGTTTATTTCCATCCAGCGATTTCCCTGGAATTCTCGGGTCGAGAAAAGTCGAGAACTCGAGAAATCAAGTACCTATATCGAAATTAAATTGACGTTTGTTGTATTGCGTGGCGGCGCAATAATACAAGATATTAAGGTTTTCTTTCATGTATTTTTTTTTGTTTTACAGAAACCTTTACATTTACATACCTATTTTTGTTTACAAGTTTAAGGTAGATTTTTTCTAAATAACCAGCCAAAAATGGTGCTGTAAGTCTGAATAATATTAGGTCCTAACATATGAAAGTGGTGTTTTGTAAGGGAGTAACCTGAAGTATTTTTTTACAAAATATAACATGTTTATTTAATCAAACTATGTACCATTGCTATTTATGCACTTTTGACATCTTATAGGTACTTCATTGATCCCTTTACTGAAAAAAACATTTGAACGGGAACATTTGGACATATCAATAAAATCTTTGGACTTTGGACTGCCCCATCGGATTTGAATTTTGTCCCAGTAAGTTATCCAAATTTCGAAAAAAAATGGTAATCTGTTGGAGCAAGATCCGGGGAGCAATTGTAAAGTCTTAGACATTACAATTGAATGTCTTCTAATTTGGTAAATGTCAGTTGTGCAGTGTGTGGTCTAGCGTTGTCCTGAAGCAGCAGTAGCCTACGGCCATTGACCATCCTCGGTTGGTTAGCAGCTAGCTTTTCCATTATGGTTTCTCAATTGCTGACAACACACATCTGCCGTAATCATCAATTTGCTACAAGTGGATTAATACAGTTTTGTCACTAACACCGCAACCTACAACTAACTCGGACGTGGTTTGCGATGGATCTGCTATCATAATAGCCTTCAATTCTTCATTACCAACCTTGGACTCCAGCCGCCCACGGTTTTACAGGTCGAAATTTCCAGAACGAAAACGTTGCAACCAAAAATGCATTGTGTTTTCTTTTGCGACACCACCACCATACACATCATTAATCCTTCGAGCCGTTTCTGCAGCACTAGTGCCATGGTGGAACTCGTACTTGTACTTGTAAATGACGCGATATTTTAAGTTTTCCATTTTATAAGCTGAGTGACCCAAAGAAAAAACCAAGCATATGTATTACGGTTTTCGAAAAACAAATGCATGAGTGAATAGCCGTATAAATTTGAAATTGAAATTTACGTAACGTACGTATGTACGTAAATGTAAATTTCTCGACAACCCGAGAAATTAACCTCGAGAATTCTCGAGACCCGAGAAATTGAAAAGTTCGAGAAATCATGAACCCTACTCCCGAGATTGTCTAAAATTAATTAAATTGGATTTTCTTTAGAAGGCATTGCAAAAGAAATAAAGTGGTGTAGCCAATCAATAATAAGTTTTCATTTATCCATTCAGAGTATTATAATTATAATTTAGAGTACTACTAGCGGTTTCGGCAAACTGTTTTGCCATATATATTATTATTATTTTTTCCTTTTGAATACTGCATAATTGGCAATATGCTTTTCATATACAATAGTCCAATCTGTGGGCTTTTTTCTTGAATTGTATTTTCATTTTAAATTAATAAAGCTGCTCCAATGAGTCACCCTTTAGGCGCTGTCTGTAAATATGTACATCCAGTCGAGAGTCGAGAGAATCTTAAACTCCCCGATCCCTACAGTTGTGCGGGGCCACTTCATTTCTGTGTCTATTTAGTCTAGACTGGTAGCTTTCTACTGTAGGATTGTATTTCCTGTTTGACAGTGTTTAAGTTTGTGTCCATATACATAAGCTTGTTACTTATGTATAGTGGAATATTGAACAAGTTTCTTATGGTTTTGCTCCAGACACAATAGACACAAATTTCCTACATCATCAGCATAGATAGAGTTACGTCCGATACAGAGGTAGAATCGTTTGATTCCTGAAGAACTTTCCTCTTTACTCTTTCAGTCCCCTTCCTTGGTATTTTCGACTTCTTTCCTTTGCCCTTGCCCTTAGTTATATTTTTTACCTTTCCCCTATCTTTTTCTTTGGATAGGCAGTCTGTTTTCTTTTTCTATTAGGTTTTCCTTTATTGGTGTTGATATTGATGTAATGGTTGCATGCTGCTTCTTACTATTTTGTCTTGTATTGTGAGTATCGATTTTTTCTAGCGAATTAAGTAGTTGCGATACAAAATCAAGAATAGAGACTGCAGAATCATCTTGACGTAATGTGCCAGGCACTAATGACTGGGCCAGGTGCTGGATCATCAATTGCCACTTCATGATCTTGAATGGCCATAGGTTCTCCCAACTGGAGCAGTTCGGCTGGTAGAAAATCTTCATCACAAAATACGTCAGGATTCATTGGATTATAGCCATTAGCTAACTAACTAACTAACTAAATCCTGTCTTGCTTTTACTAATGGACGCTACGTTGTTAAATGCTTTCCCGTAATAAGGACGCGACTTCCTAAGGTGTAATTTTTTCAGCCAGGTGACTTTTCATGTATAAGTCGTATTCCATTTTGTATGACCAAATAACGACAATGTTCCAAAAAACGAAACGACAAGTGGTTGGAGTTTATGCGACGTATGCGGGGGTAAAGACAGCATATGGATACGGTGGAGTTTGCAAAATTCATGCACAGGAAGCGATATATGACTGGCATGATTGTCCATTCTTAGCAGGACTGGTTCTTCAGCAGAAGGTTTAGCGTGGTGATTGAAGTGCGAAAGCCATTCAAAAATAGCTGCACATTTATCCAGCCATTACCTGAGCATATATATAGAGCTCCTTTTCAAGAAGTGGACTCAGTCTTTTCTGGGGGACATTTAACATGGGTGGAATGAATCCACCAGCAGCGTTCATTGCACACATTAAAGTTATATTCTTTCCTCTATGCCAGCTTCTGATTGAACCTACTCTTCTTTGCCCTTTAGCTGCTAGTATTTTTTCAGGTGGTTGGACGGTAGTAATTCCGGTTTCATCGCAATTATATATATTTTTGGCTACAGATTTATGTTTTGCCATCAGTTCGCCCAGCAGCTGATAAAATAACTTCAGTTCTTTTTTATTGAATGTCATAATCCATTTATGCTGGTGCCATCTGGATTTCTAACAGATATATAATTTCTGACCATAATGATGCCAACCAGACGCGACCAGACATTTTAGAAAACCGATTAAAATTGTGTTTTAAGTTCATGTTTTCAGCGTATTCAAACGCCACTTTTTTTTATTTGTGTAGCTGTGCATCCATAAAAAATGTTCGCCGTCATCTTTAACAAATCCGCTAATTGCTTTTCTTGTTCAGCGCTGAACACAGTCAGCCGTCCCAGACTTGGTGCCAAGTTATTTTTTTTATTGTATCTTTTCTGTAGACTTGAGAATGGCATTTTCGAAACTTTGGCAACTTTTCCTATTGAATATCTGCGTAGGGTATTTTTTCTTAAAATTTCCGTTTGTTTGCTTTGGTTACATCTTCTGGCCAACGCAAATTTATTTTAAAAGAAGATGGTCCAACACAGTTTCCTACTTTCATATGTCTATGCTTCATTAATTCAAAAACGTCGACTTTTTGATGTGGCATTAATGTATTAATATTTTGATCGGCACTTATTTTAGGGGTTTTGTGGGCCATATTTCCGAAATATTAGATATGTACTTATATCTTCTAATTGATCAGTTGTGTTAAGAGTGCATTTGTTTGTACAATCATAATGGCTTGTTCCACGCTCGTTTTCTAACATGTCAAGTTTCGTACTACTATCTGTTTGTTTGTCGTAGTATTTTTGAATTTTTTGAAGTGACATATTCTTGTAAACAAAATTAGAAAATTATTATATATTTTAAATTTTTATACAATTTGCAATCAGGATCTTTGCGTCGCTGTCTTTTTTCACCCCTAACAGGTAAATGCTGAAACCCATCACATCTGGCATCACGAGGAGTTGGTTTTACTTAAAGATATTCGTACCTTGAATCTTTAACAGCTCTTCAAGTGTTGGTGGTATATCGAATAAATGCAGATGTGGCAATAGATATCACTAGCGAGAAATCTTAACCAAATCACACCCTATACACTGTAAGAACTTGCTCATGAGCACACAACTGACTAGTTAGATTTTCCACAGTTCTAACCTTTTTCGACATTAATAACCAACTGGACTTAAAAGAAAAATAAGATTCAGGTAACGTGTCAAGAATTGTACTGTGAGTTATATTCTTTAACATATCACAAAGGTTCTGACAGTTTTGATATATTTGACTTCTGCCCTATTTCAGCGGATAAACTTGGTCTACATCTTTTTTTTTACCGATGACCCAAACATGCGTAAACTTTTCCCTGCTTCAAATTTGAAGTCCTGTTTCATTGGGGTTGGTGTATGTTGCTGCCTTGCCAATTCTTCTGTAAAATAATAAGCAATTTATTTTATATGTAAGTCTTTTATGGTAGGTGTTTTGAGAGCTTTTCCTTAACGACCTTTGTTGACAGTTCCCAGCGACTGTATTCTTTCTTTAACCAAATTCGCAATCATTCTGGTGATGTATAATAATTATCAAAAAATAATTTGTAATTTTGATTCTTTGGTATGTACTTTAATAAGCGTACTACGATATTTGAACTTGCTCCTAAGTCTGGCTCATTTGGATATCTTAGCTCGGGATCGTTCTCCATTTCAGAATTCTTTCTTCGTCTTCAAACTCGTAAGCAAAGCGACGATCGTCGCATAGAACCAGCAGGCTGTAGGCCCATTAGGAAGGTATTGTAGTTGAAGATTAGAGGCTTTTGTCGCGCACATTTACTCGTTGGTGGATAGTGGAATAGAATAGAATACCATTCGAAAAATTGGCCAAGCACGAATTGGATTCGCACTCGAAGGTTCCGTACCGCAAACAAAAACAAAACATTTTAGAGTACTTACGTTATAAACAACCGAATACGATTATATCATCGAGGTAAGCAAATATATCATATACAGACCCCCAATTTATTGTTAATAGACCCCCAATTTATTATTAATATTGTCACAAATGTTCAGTGTAGGCTAAGGCTAATTTAAGTCCAAAATTCTCCTTTGAACACGAGTACGGCCGGGCCGCAGACCCGGTGATTTTATTTAATATGCCATTTATTAATATAAATAAATTACTAAGTTCATAGCCTGGTTCCGCCGTTATATAAGGTAGGTGCGGCCAATAAGGCCTAGCTAAGCGGGAATTGAAAAAAAACAAAAATACTGACATAAATCAACTAATTTTAATGTTTATGAAACATTTATAGCAATTAACATCAATTATAAACAGAAAACCAGAGGATTTTCCATAAACATATTCAAAATAAAGTATTTTTGAAAACACTGTATTTAGGCCTTATTAAACTATAATAGGGTAATAAGGACTAAGAGTGTAACATACAAAACTAAACAAAACTTACGTCTAATATTTGGAAATTGAGATCAATAATTAATAATTAAGTAATAATCACAGTGTTTAGACTTAAAAATAACACAATTTTTGATTAGTTACATTCAGGACACTCAAAATTATCATCATCCTCCTCTGACAAACCAACGCACTCCTCATGATACCACTTGCTGCATTTAAAACATTGCCTCATAGCAGCCTTTTCGTCCTCGTTACATCCGTGACAGTACCAACTCTCATTGTTTTCTTTAGTGCTAGTATCATCTCTAATCTTTTTTATTTTTTTGGTCTTTTTCTCTATTTTATTTTTGTAGAACAGGTCTTTGGTCACTGGAGTTCCTCTGTAATTGATGGCCTTTCTTCTTACTGTTGGTGTTTTTTCAGTGTTCTTAGCAGGTGTAGGCATGAGCTGCTTAAACGCTGTTCCTTTAATTTGGGCAAGCGGTATATTATCCTCGTCGTCGTCGGAACTTTTTTGTTCCTGCATTGACGTCGATGGTTTGGAGATCACGGGGGTTATTGGCCTGGGGGCGATGCAAGGCGGCAAATTTTCTACATCAACAGCATCAGATACATGAGCTGGTACTTCTGTTAGTACAGACGGGGCAAATGCTGTTTCCGGAATAGCTTGAGGATTAAATGGATACAAACCAGTCGCTTTAAAACCGCTTGTTATGTTTCTATGTGTCATGCATTTAGACCAAACATTAGAAAGGATAATATTGAACCGTGCCTTTGTTAGTTTTTTATCTGGATTTTGTTCCATGAATAACAAAAGTTCTGCATCCCAATGATGTTCAAATGATCGATAAACCGCCTTATCGAGTGGTTGCAGTTCATGCGTGGTGTTTGAGGGCAAACAGTATAATGCTATGTCGAGTGAATCTGCAACTTCCACGATGGATAGGTCTAAGTGAGAAGCTGCCCCGTCAAATATTAGAAGACACTTTCCTGGACTTTTGTATTGAGCTAGGTGCTTCAAAAACTCTTTGAATAGTTCATTTGTCATATAACCCTTAGCAGATTTCTCTACTAATGATCCTGGTGGTAAGTTGTCATATAATTCAGGTTTCAAACGTTTGCCTTTAAAAATTACCATGGGTGGTAGGGCACTACCAAGTGCATTGACACAACCGGCGATTGTGACGCTTTCAGCGTGTTCTGATGATTGTAAATGGACCCTTTTGGCCCCTTTTTTTGCCAATACAGTCTGCTGATGGTGAATCGTCAGGCGGCAACCTTTCTCATCCATGTTATAGATCTTTTCAGGATGAGTTTTGAGATCCAATTTATCATAAACTTCATTCAGTCTCTTAAAGTGATCGTCTACGATAAATTTATTCAGCTTTTGAGCCCTGGCTGGGTTCATAAACTGAGCCTTTCTATCCTATCCGGAGCCTATCCGGAGATCTCACATCTCCGGATGTCTCTCCATAAATTTCTTTAACCAATCTTTACCAGCAACTTTATCTTGTTGATTGAAGGGATGCTTGATGTTATTTAGCTCGCAAAATTTGAAGACTAACCGTCGGAGAATCCTTGGTGTCATAGGTACACCTATTTCAGCAAACCTCAAAATTCTACTCACAAGATCAGCCTCTTGTTCGTCGTTAAGTAAAGGTTTCCGACCCAAGACTTTTTTTAAACTGCCGGTCTGAAGGTGGTTCCTGATAGTTCTTCTGGGCACTTTGTACCTTTCGGCAGCTTTGTAAGTGCTTAGCCGTCCACACTGTACTGCTCGTACCGCCGCTTCCAGGTTTTCCTCAGACCACAACGCTCGTTTCGGAGGCATTGTTGTTATAATGCCCTAAAAACAATAAACCAATAAGAAAAGAGTTAAAATAACATTTCTAAATGCGTAAAATAAACTGAAAGACAGTCACTTCATGATGGAGTATAATAAGGCCTATACACGAATTTTGTAGGCCTTAATAACCGCCGGCAAATTTTGCAAAGAAATGTTAAAAATAAAACTATTCAGTTTACATTATACTATTATAACACCATAGGCTACTCAAGCATGAACTAATTAACAATTAAACAATAACATTATGTAGAAAAATGTAGTATTACAAAAAATACTTACGTTTGAATTTCCTGCAATTTTATAATTTAAACGGAACTTCCGTTGGCCACTATGAATGATGCCGCACTGGTGACAGGGAGCGAGCTAGCGAGTCGTGACACGTTCGGGGCGCCATCTTACATTTTAAGCTACCTACGACTGTGACCTCGAGTGATGGCGCTAATTTTAAATTGTATTTTTGTTATTTAGGCCTTTTTGCCCGACAGGCCTTATTGGCCGCACCTACCTTACTGCCTAACCAATTAATCACATAAGTTAATAAATCGGGTCAGTACATTTGAATTCCCATCGAATTCAGGGACTAATCGAAGAGCTTTATAAATTTGGTCTACGATAGCGTCCGACATCGTAATTCATTCTAGTATTTCTTGTACGTCAGTTAAATTTATATTTCTATTTAAATCTATTTCCAATCTACTATATCTAATATTTAACCTAGGGGTCCTCGATTGCCTTGGATGGAAAATCTTGGATGGTTAAAAGGAACACACAAAAAATTAAAATATAAAGGAAAGCAACTCTAGTAAGATCTAGGTACTCACATATGCATAATTCTGCCCGTATCGATTTCTGGATACGCCTCTGGATTGTAGCTCTCGTAGGTTTCAGATCGCTGCTCGTCGTGATCTATTCACTGATTCTAATTTTACAACGATCCTACCGACTGCGTCAATTATGGAGGCCACAGCCAGAGGTTGCAAATAAAATGCAATTACTAAATATATATTTAATTATAATATAAAATGGTTACATTTAATGTTCTTATAATTAATTAAAACTATGTGATCCTCCCACGATGGATGAATCAAATCTGCTGTCTTTTTGTGAGGTGTCCACTTAGGCGAGGGAGGTCAGGTGTTCACGGTGGTGCCTTTGATTCGGCAACTTTCTTAGAAGCGGACCTAACATGGAACGCTTTCTGAGCGGTATTGATGAGGCAATATGACAGGGATGCCACTGTTTGCAGATTCAGGGCTTAATCGACTTAATAACGGATCAAAATGTCCTGTTATTAAGTCGATTTGGCGACATCATGTGAAGCTGTGGATACTCTTATATGCTAAAGCATAAGGTATGAGATAAACGACAGATTCATTTTTATGTTTTAATCGAAAGGTACGGATTGTTCAAGTAGTATGGTGTAATCGTTCAATGTTACCATTGTCATTTGATGTATAGCCTAAGGTGTGTGTAGTCTAGTAAATTCAGTAAAAAGTTTATTTGTAAATTCTGTCCCATTGACTGTTGCTATTATTAGTAGTAGTAGTCTAGTGGTAGTACATGGTGAGTTGAAAATTGTAATAAGGCTTGCATTATACTAATTGCGGTGCTATCCCTGATGCTTCTGCATATTCTGAAAAGTGTGAGGGTTTTTGGGTAGAAAACGGCATCTGTTTCAATGAAAATTTTATTTGGTACAAAGCAATGTAACAAGAATAATAAAATAGAAGAAACAATGTAAAATCGTTGACACAACTTTTTGAGTGTACCGTGCCAGTAATAACACTCCTCTTCACGATGCATGTCGTGATTAAGTTAGTCCCAAACTACTTCGCAATGTCTCCAGTCGCAGTCCAGCCAAAGCCTTACTTAGTGTATCTGCTTCCATCTCTTTATTGTCAAGTACGAGTAAAGCTTTTACGGGCAAGTTGGATCGTTTCATAAACTTCTTGACTTCTGAGAAACTTGAAACCATTCGCTAAATACCTCTCTCATGACCCAACTTCTAATTTGGTTCTTGTAACAAACTGGCAGACAAATGTTCTTGAAAGCTCTGGGATTTTTTGCTTAGCCAATCACTAACAAATCCAATTTGTGCGTTCTAGTAGCATTTGAACACGCCATGAATGTGATTCTATCTTTACTCACTTTACGCCCTAGTGCACTTGCTTATTTTGAAGATACGAATGTTTTATTGGGCAACAGTCTCCAGAAGAGACCACTCTCGTCTGCGTTATAGATTTAACCATCATATTTCCAATTAGAATCTATAAGGTTTATCAAAGTTTTGAGGGCCGCTTTTATTTTAGCAGAGTTTAGTTCCATGTATGGCTCTTGTTTTTTTAATGCAAGCATAAATGCTATATTGCAGCACTGATTTATGCAAGTAGAATTATTCATTGCAAATGTAAGCGAATCAAAGCTATTTTTTTCGAATCGTATTTACCTACAACCTTTGTAGCTGACACTATAACATCATAATATTTCGGATTAAGTGCACCTAACAAATCTTTCATCCTTCATTTTATTAATTTTGTTAAGTCTTGGGTTTGATGGATCTTAGCGTGTAGTAGAAGGAATATGTATTTACATGTCAATAACTACGACTTTTTAATAGTTGGCCTTCAAAAGAGCGTGGCCTTCCATGGTCCACCCACCTTAGTTTCAGTTTCATTTGGCTGTGTTTTATCAGTCACTTTACTTGTTAAAATAGTTTCAGTTTGAGCTTTAATAGAATTATTATTTAATAATATTGTTTCGGGATTATTTTTTGGTCTATTTTCTATTTTGTTGTTCATATTTGGGTTGAATATTATTTTGTCCTCAATAGCATTTAAATTAGTTTCTGTTTTCTTAGTTCTTTTTGTAGGAAGTGTTTCAGTTTCATTTGATAAGTTTTTCATGTATAGATACTTCAGCCTAACCTTTACAGTAATAATGTTTAGATTTGTAATTAATTTCTTTTCTTAATAAAGTTTCAGTCTCATTTTTCTCTTTATTAGTATTTCTTTCCGTTAAAGAAGTTTTCCTTTGTTTTTATTCGAGTTTCCTCTTTTCTATTTTAATAATTTGACATCCTTACTAATTTCTCAATATTTTTTCTTTTATAGATTTCTGTGACAACTTTTTCTTTTTGTTTAATTTCTTCGCACTCGAGCCACTTATCGCTTGTCATTACATAAATACTAGAATGTTTCGATAAAATTTTACCCTTGCGCCTAGGCGTTGACGCTTTTATAAGGAAATCCTCAATTTACGCTAAATATTTTTTGTTAGGCCTGTCGGCGTTGTCTAATTTTTCGATAATGTGTACTAATTTATTGAGATTTATTTAAATTTCTTCATTGTTTTCTGTTTCTAGTGTCTCAATACATGTTTTATTAACGTCATTGTCATCAAATTCTTGAAACAACTTTGACAACATTGTTCGAAGTGTTTACGTTGTTGTAGAAGACCTGACTTATAACTGCCAGTGTACTGTCGATTCGTTCGAGTATAGACACGCTGTGCCAGAAAGGGCGAGTGTTAAATGACTGTTAACTTAAAGTGACGTGAATACCAGAGTCGCCTGAAATTGTTTCTGGACAGCAGCCTAGCGTATACTTTTCCATGTATCTTCGCCTAAACGTTGGCATCTTGAGCCTTATTTTGCAAGTTCTGTATCAGCTTTAGCAATTTTTACTTGAGATTCAATTACTAATGGTGAGAAATCGATATTAGTTTCGGTTGTTTGAGGCTGGGGCGGCGGGGTGCGGAGTAAAATCCTCTTTTTTTTATAGGAACTGTGCCTGTCAATCAGGTGCTGATTCAATTTTAAATTTGAAGGAGCAGGTCAAATAAATATAGGGATTAGGGAAAATGTAGGGAATTAGGAGAAGAGGCGGGGCGGAGTCCACTGACTTTGAATTTGCTGCTGGTCTTCCGCAGCGAGCTGGTGGTATTTCTTGCTATTCAGCAAAGTAGACTGCTGGCCGATGGTCACCAAAACACACTTATTTGTTCGGTAGAGCCAAGCGGTGCGGTATGAAGGAAATGCGATGGAGTAAGCGCGGTTGTATCACTGGGGTCTGCAATTAATGCGGTAAGCGGTCTTGAATGTAATAAAGCCTCAATTTTAACGAGAAGCAAAGCTCATAAAATGATAATATTTGTTAACCAATTACTTTAAGGCGGTCTTCCTATGTGACGGCCTGTTTTTTAGGGATATTTTAGGATTTTTTTTTCTACGACCAGTAAATATTTAGAGCTTCAAGTTTTTTATCATTTATTAACACATATTTGGACAGTATAAATATAAAATTTCAGCTAAAAATATTCAGTCAAACTAGAGTTACAGCGCTCTGAACACCCCCGCCTCGAAAAAAAGAGCTCCCACTTCCTCCACGATTCCGGCTGATCGGCTTATCTGAAAAAAAAAAAACGGCGTTTTAATTTGTAGGCTTAAAAGCACGGAATGACCTATAATCAAATGAATATAAAAAAAATTGGATTTTTGATAGACATTTGAAATAAAAGTTGCAAATTAGGCGTTTTTTTTTTGTTTTTTGCTATAAAAAAATCGAAGTTTTGAAAATTTTCGATTGATAATAGTTCATTCCATGCGTTTACATATATTGAGTGTGCCCTGTAAATTTCAAGTAATTCGGTCCAGCCGTTTCTGAGATACAATGGAGGAAAGTTTGAAAAACACAGTTTTGAGAAAAACGCGTTTAAAGTTTCAAGTCCGTTAAAAACTATTAAAATATCAACTTACTCTCAATCGGAGATGCCTGGTCCATAGAGTATTCCTTCCTCTTCCTCGTGAAACTCTTTTAAAGCAGATTGTTCAGCTCTTGAGTCAATCCTGGCTTGTTTAACGACATCACTTACGCGCCGCTCAGAGCGTAAGATTCGCTTTTCATCCCGTTTCTCAACATACGCTTGGGCTTCACGACCAACAGGGCATCCCATAATCGACATAACTTTTAAAATACCTTGAAAACCTTCATTAAAGATAATAACTGCTAAGTAGCTAGCAATTTCAACAACTTTGGGACCAGAATGAAGATGTTTAGGAGCGAAAGTCCAAATCAAAGAATTCAAAGATTCGTTATTGTTTTGTGTCTCTGCTCCTAAACAACGAATTAATAATTCGTCTTTCGATAAATCTTCGAAAACCGGTTTGATAGCTTCTTGGACTTGCGGAATTAGAGGTGGTTTATCGTGATGAAATTGGTCCAGTTCATTATTAGCTTCAGCCTTACGCCATTTACACCAACTGTCTTCGCCTTCTTTTGGTGGGTAAAACGGTTTCCACTAAACTTTCTTTTTTTACTACGACCAGGATGAACATTTCCACTCGTACTTCCTTTCCGTCCACTCATTATGAAAAAAAATAATTT